TCGCCAATGCCAAGTGTTAGATCGAGACCTGTGCGCGTCGGCCGCCTGCTTGTCGGTTTCATATCTCTCGTTGTCAATGCCGGATGTTCTCCATCTAGTCTGTTGCGTCACAGTTCACGTGGCCATGCTGTTTCAACTCGATCCCCCAGCTTATTCTCATCTGGAGTCCAGAAATTTGGTCGTCATCCTCGGCATGGGCTCAAGAGTCTGACCATGCTGAGACCCGAACTTCATCTCTAAGATCGGAATCGTACTGAACCATTTTCTCAGAAGGCATCGCGCGAAGTTCAGCCATGATCCCGGCGGATTCCTCCTAAAGGGGAAAAGCTCCCAGAGAGCAAAGGCGTTCCTCATGAGGGTGTAGACCACCAGAACAGCAGCAGCGACGACGTGGCAGTGGGCCGGCATACTGCTCAGTTGAGGTTAGACAAACGCGCACAACCGGGGTGTGTATGGCAAAATCCAAGGTCGACGCGGTCGCACAATTGCCGATAACCCCCCCATTTTCCTCCCCGCGGACCTTTTCCCGCTCGAAGCGGGCGTCACTCCACCAGGGGGAGGGGGAGGTGGTGGGGATGGGTAGGGGAGGGGGTGGTGCGCATGCGTGGCCGCCGCCGATTCCGATGCCGATAAATGGTGGTGGTGGTGGTGGTGGTGGTGGTGATGGGGGCCCGGTGTCAGCGAGTAGTGTGGCGACGGCGATTGCGCAGTGGGCGCGCTCGCCGTTTGGGTTTGGGGGCATGGAACCGCCGCCGCCGAGTCCGAAGGAGATGGATGCGAGTAGTGGGAGGAGGGGTTGGAGGGGGACAACGAGTCGGCTGGGCGCGGCGGAGCTGCCGTCGCCGGATCCGAATATGGGCACGTCCGGAGGGCGGGAGAGCGGTGTTAGGGGGTGGAAGGAGGGCCGCCATGTGCATGTGGCTGCAGAGGTCGAGTTACCGTCGCCGGATACACCCGAGAGGGATGTCGAGAGGGGGTTGGGCGGGAGGATTTGAACTTGGCTTCGACGTGTTCTTTCTACAGCTTTTCACAGCATATTTACTATTACGATACCACGAACATGTTAGCAGTATCAAATTCTAGCATTGGCAACAAGCCTCAGCCATACCCACGATTTAGATTACCGCAAAAGTGAGCCCCGAGTCTGTCCTGGTAAAGTAGGCCGTCAACGTCTGATGTGATGAGCAGCCGCCGATTAGTTTGTCCGGGAGTTAAGGGTAGGACAGCTCTCCTAAGCAGGTACCCTAATGCGGCACGCGGCAAAAACACAACCTCGCCCTTCTTCATGCCCCGAGAACCAAAATGGAAAAAGATAAGTGAAGACCGGAGCGCCGATGACGGGAATTGAGCCCGACGTGGGGGTCGAACCCACAACCTTGAGATCGTCTTTCTGGCCCTTGATGGGGAAGTAAGAGTCTCACGCTCTACCGATTGAGCTAGCCGGGCGCTGGGTCTGTTGTTGTTGGGGTTTGTGGTCGGGACGGCAAGTTTTGTGGGTGGATCCTGGTCCCGGTCCATGAGGTTTTTTTTCTCTTTTTTTTCTCGAATCCACAAGTGGGTCCAGGGGCAACGACCTCTCCCATCCCCAGCATGAATGGCGTCCGTGACCGTTGAAAAGTGGTGATGGGCAGCTAAGAGATTGCAATATTTGAGTGCTTCTACTTGCTCAATTCGAATTGTGGACGGCAAAACATGAGAGGGGGTTTGATGCTGCCATTGAGATCTGGTGGGATTCCATCTTTGTTTACTTCCCCCTGACGCCTGCCCGCAGCAGGTCAAGACAGCCAAGTACATGAGTAAAGTCAACCAAAATGTCTCTCTTAACAATAATAACTTCAAGGCCCGATAAAGGATATATTTAGAATTCTTTATGCTTGCAAATCTTGGGGCCCACCGACATCACGACCTCCTCCCCATTTAAAGGGTTGCATCTCAATTCTTCACAGCTCTATCTGGGTAGTAGAGAAAGGAAAAAGATAATATATATATATATATCTAGGCCATCGTTCATGGCAACATTACGCTAGTCAATAATTTGATCGATACGCTCGCCAATATGCTATGATCAACTTTGTGGCGGGGGGTGGTGCCTTCGGTACTGCCGTTGATGCTGCTGCTGCTGTCCCAGGCGGGAACCCGGGGAACATGTGCGCTGGTTGGTGCGTGTTGAGGTAAACTTCTGGGAAGATCCCGGGCAAGCCACCAACAGCTCCGGGAGGTGCTGCTTTGCCAGGCGGAAACGGACCTGGGTACGGCATTCCCATAGGGAAGCCGGGATAAAATCCCCGTAGGGGTAGCTAATTATGGGGTACCGGCGCTGCGACACTTGGGGCCCCTCCCTAAACACATCATCCGTCACTGGGTTCCCAACTACCGCAGTTGGCGACCCGGTCGACGCCGCCGAGTTCCCCCTAATATTCATTGCCAGTTTGTCAGTTGAGGTGTAATGGGCTGCGGTGGTGGCCGGTATACTATTCCATCCGCCACTTACTATCATGAGTTCTGCTGCAACCCAGACTCGCTGTGGCACTCCGATTCCTCAACATAGTCAGCCAGCTCAGCTTTCTCTGTGTGGCCCTGGATTGTCGGTGGGATATTGACCTCACTCTTTCTTCCGAGGAAGAGGATTGCTCGCATGACGCTTGACGGTGCTCGTTGTAGTATACTGGTCGCAACGGGCGTCTTCCAGTCCACAACGCATCCCTTTCCATCTGAGTAGGATGATATCGCCAGCCGGCGGCACGATGCCGAGGTATACTCTTCTAACAACCCCTTTCCTTCTGCTTTGGAAGGTCTGACCGATGCCTCTTGCCGTTCAGCATCCTTGGCCATTCGACGGACCCAACCACCTTGAGGTTGTTCAGCCGGCATCGCTGCAATTTCGTACCCATGGCGGCTTGACAACGACCATCGATAACCATGACCGGCCCAAATTTATTAGTAAGTGCTTAATAGAAGGGGGAAACTCATTTTGCCTGGGCTTCCCCGTTCCTTCCAGCTTGTCACGCAACAACTTAAGACGAATAAAGGGGTGGTTTGCAAAAACGCGTTACCTCTAGTCTGGCAGAGAACAATAAGGAACGCGTGAAGTAGACGCGTTAATACGGTTAGAAACACTTCACAGATTTATGATAAACTGTTTATTCTGGTGCCTGTATTTCAGCCAACTGCCCTATGCCCTCTCACCATTGTTTCCTGCCCACACAACCTGTGCTGTTACTCGCCATCGACCAGTAAGTATAGCATCAAAGAAGTACCACTCGATAATCACTAACCCCTTTACTACGGGTCATCACACCTCCCAAGTCAAGACTGTCACATGCAGACTACCACAAACACAAGCGCAACAACAAGAGCCACAACAAGAACAACAACAGCCCCCGCAACAATGGCCTCCAACCCAACGGACCAAGACTACACCATCCCCACCGCCCTGTCCCCTACCGCCTACCTCAGCGACCCCGAGTCCGACCTGACCGAGCGCCTCGACTGGTACGGGCTGGGCAAGCTGCACCCCACGCACCTCGGCGACACCTTCGCGCGGGGCCGGTACGCCATCATCCACAAGCTGGACCACGGCCCGCACACGCTGTCGTGGCTGGCGCGTGACCTCGACACCAACACGTGGCGGCGCCTGGACACGGTGCCCGCGGCGGTGGCGGCGGTGGCCCGGCCGCGGTTCCGCGCCGCCGCCGCCGACGCCCGCGGGCTTGCCCTCGCCGTCTGCGGCCACGAGGGGCCCAAGGGCAGCAACGTGTGCATTGTCTGGCCGCTGGATAGCAGGAAGCATGCTTTTCGGGGGGGCGTGCCGTGGGGGGGCGATGAGATCCCCATGAATGCGGATTGGTTCATGAGCGAGTGTGCGAAGCTGAAGGGGGGGGGTCCCCCCGTTGTGTCTGCATGATATTGGCGAGCAGGGGATGCTGGCGATTCTGGGCCGGCCGCGGCTGATCCTGGTGGATGCGGAGCTGCGGCGGAGGGCGCTCGTCTCCCAGTCGCTGGAGTGGGACCAGGTGCCGTGCTACCTTGTGCTTCGGCCGGACCGGATTGTTGACTCGGGGTCGTCGACTGAGGCGGAAGTGGGGAGCGACGCGGAGGGATGGTCCGAGAGGATTGGGCAGGCTCTGGGCTTAGATTGAGGTACTGTACCGCATGTACCTACGCCAGTCTGTCAGGAAGGGTTTGGGTGTCGGGATGGCTTGAACATGGAATTCATGCTCCTTTAGGTTCCTTGAAGGGGAGGGCGTCGTACAGAGTAACACGGTTGATACCATGGCTTATCATATAAGGGAGTCAACAGAGTGGTTGTCTTGCGATTTCGCAATCACAAACCTGGCGAGAAGCCAGAACACCGAACAGTGACTCAGTGAAAGCAACCACCCCTGAGGCGCGCAAGACAATGCATACACAGTAGACAAATATGTACGTGACTAATAAACCGTAATTTCCATCCCCAAATCTCCCTTACAAAACTCTAACAGGGGTATTCGCTATTCCCCAAGCACTACTCTCAAATCCAGCCATGCATTCTAAGCCAACTTGCTCCCGCCTTTAAAAACAAAAAAGCCTCCCATTCCCACACCCTTGCCAAAACGCAACTAAACCGCCGCCGCCTTGCCCCTCCGTTTCGGCGCCGGTGTCCCATTCCCGCTCATCCCCAACTTCGTGACCCTCGTCCGCCGCGTGGTCACCCCCGATTTCGTGGCCGCAGCAGCAGGTGTCGGCTCAACCGCCGGCTGGGCAGGAGCCGCAGTTGCAGCTGTGCGCTTGGGCAAGGACCGCGCCCTGGTTCGCAGGCTCGGGGCAGCGGTGGGTTTCTCGACGGCGGGTTTCTCCACAGCAGGCTTCTCGACAGCGGGCTTTTCAGCGGCAGCCGCCTTCTCCCCGCCCGTCTTTTCCGAACCACGCATCTTCTTGACCGGCGTTGGAGGCGGCAGCCTAGACGACCTCGTGCGCCTGGTGGACACGGGCGCCGCGGGAGCAGGAGCAGGAGCGGCCGCAGGGGCAGGGGCAGGGGCCGCAGCCGCGTTGCCGCCTTTCCGAGCCGCCACACGCGCCGTCTTCTCAACGACAGGCTCGGCCGGCATCGGCGGTTCGGCCTCGGCAATCTCATCCACCCCGTCATCATCCATGACGTCCGCGAGCAACTCCCTAGCCATGCCGCGAAACACGCTCGGCTCCTCCGTCTGGAACCTAACCAGCTCCTCCGCCCACCTGACCGCCTTCGCCGCACCACCACTTGCCTCCCCTTCCCCTTCTCATTCCCATCCCCACGCACCTCCTCTACCCCCCCCTCACCCTCACCCTCACCACCCCTCCCGGCCCTCCTCTCCTTGGCCTCCCAAACCCCCTTCAACTCCCTCATCCGCCAACCAGCGGGGTCCTCCGCCTGGCGCGCGAGCACCGCGGGCGGGGGCAGGGCGGCGCCCTTGTTCTTGCGGGTATTGGCGCGGGTGGCGGCGGCCAGGCCCTTTTCCTCGCTGCGCTGCCGCGCCATCGACGCCAGGTGCGCGTCCATGGCCGCCTCGTCCATGGCGCCCATCCCGGGCAGGCGCACGGGGATCATGGAGAAGGCGATCGAGTTGGCCGAGGGCGCCGAAGGGCGCAGCGCGACCCGCGTGCTGCGGGCGCGCGTGGAGCGGCGTGGGCCGCCGCCGCCGGCGTCGTGTTCGCTGCCGCTGCCGCTGTTGGTGGTGGTGGTGGGGCCAGGTTCTGGGGAGGGGGTTGTGGTAGTGGTTTCGGAAGAGGATTTTGAGAGGATGGGGTCGACGGCGCGCGTGCGTCGCCGCTTGAGGCGGCGCGGTTCGCTGGGCTGGTCGGATGGGCCCTCTGCTGGGCCATCCTTCGCCAAGTCATCGCCGTCAAAAGATTCGGCTTTGCGCTTTTTGGATAGGCTCGGGCTGTTGGGGCTCTTCACACCCAACGGCGTCCTGCTGGCGGGAGACTCTGGTGCTGGTTTGGTCATCGGGGAACCGGTGGAGGTGGTAGATCCGATGGAGCTAGAACGACGGGCGATCTTCTGCACGAGCGCGGCCGCTGCTGCTGCCGCCTTGGCGTTCTTATCTGCTGTCACCCGTGTCACAAAGTTCCGCAGCATCTCCGTCTCCGAGTCGTCATGCCTGGAATGCAGCTGTAGCGTGTCGTATTCTGGTCTGGGTGCTTCGACCGTCATGTCCTCGTCCAGGTCCATGGCCATAGCGGCCTCATCACCGTCCTCTACCACGAGTTCCTCCTCCAATACTTCATCGGCGTCGAGCTCATCCGATTCTTGGTCAGCCTCCAGCTCATCCTCGTCCCGGAGACGCGAGGGCGGGGCATTCGTAGGCGATGGCTGGCGGCCGTTGATGGGAGTGAACCCAGAGCTCTCCTCTTGGGTGGCAGCTGTGGCCGCATTGTTCTCCGGTGTTGAAATCTGTTCCATGGAGCTTGCTGCCGTGGTAGCATTCGGGGTCCCCGGCATCAGAGCCGTGGAGCCTTCCGCGCGAGAGGGGGAACTCGGGGCTTGGGCCATGTCTGAATCCCGCTTTGGCGCGTCGCACTCTGCGCCGCTTGATGGGGGTTCGAGTTCGATCTTCTTGGTCTCCTGAACCTCGTGCGAGGTTTCTGTTGAGGTAGCTTCGTCTTCGAGGAGCGGCGAATCAGGAGAGGCCATGCAAGCTGCGGTGTCGGCGACGTGGCTGGCGGAGACGTGCGGCTCAGGCACCGACCCGGCTGCGGGCCGCTCATCCACTGAAGCTTCGACCGCATCTTCTGACGCGACATCTATCGTTGTGCTTCCTTCTGCCGACGTAGAGCGTGGGGGGGTCGCTTCTCCACTTGTGGACGCCTCATTCACCCCCTCTTCGGAGACCGAAGGCTCGCTGTTGGCAAGCTGCTCTTTGATTAGCTCGTCGTCAGACGGCTGCTCCTCAGCAAGGCATGACGGAGTGCTGGAATCAGTCGTTGGCGGTTGAGCAGTGTGCTCGACCTCGTTTGCTGGAGATTCATCCTCGAGATAAGTCGACTCTTCGAAGATGGTTGAGAGACCTTCGGGGTCCTGAGGGATAAACATGACATCGGAATCGCTTTCCTCTCCGAAATCCCATGCTTCCGTTGAGGTGTGAGGGGTAAATTCCACAGTTGAGTCGTGCCCCATGTCGACCTTGGTGGCCGTCGGGCTGGTTGCTGCCTGACGGGGGGTTGTATGTTCCGGTTCCGCCTCGACCCCTGTTCCCTCTGTCACACCAAAAGCATTATCAGACGACGAACCGAAAACGGGTCCTTGGGTGGCAACGCTATCATCACCATGTGCCGGAACAGCCTCCATTGGCACAACATCGGCTGGCGGCGTTGAGCGGGCTTCCAACTCGAGAGGCCGCGTCTCCTCGGTTGTCTCCTGCTCACTGATACCGTCGCGTCGGGGGGCAGAATCAGTAGTCTTGCTCGGCTGACCGAAGATATCGAGGCTGGTCTTCATATCGATCTCAACCACCTCCTCGCCACTCGTGGCACCGCGGATCTCCTCTGGGTCCACGCAGAAAGCGTCCATGGTGTTTCGCCTGCCTTTGGAACTTCCGCCGACATCTGCCGGTAGTTCTTCAAGCGACGTAAAGCTGTGCCTACGATTGGGACTAGTGCGCCCGCTCTTAAGAGCTAGCAGCCGCGACGCACCACTCGAGCCGCGATCACTTCTACGTGCGGACTGGAGCGAGCGTCGCCTGCAGGCTTCATACTGAGGCTCATCTCGGACGTCCGGAATCGGTTGGTCGAACATCAACGGAAGGGGGCTGGCAGGTGAAGCTTCCGAAGCTGGGGGGTCCGCCATCTCGGCAACCGAGGCAGATGCCCCATTCTCGGGTGTGGCTGGTGACCCGACAGGCTTTGCTGGAGACTTCTCCGGTGGGTTGATTTTAGGCGTGTCCAAAACAACCTTCATAGGCGTGGCGCTAACTCTGAATGAGCGGTGCGGTGAGTCGGCGACCTTTGTTGGCGAGAGTGAGACAGGTGGTCTCTTGATTGGGGAAATCATCGGCGTTGAGATCTCGGCGGGTGACAAGGTGATCATGGGGAGTTTCCGAGGTGAACCCTCTCCTGGAATGAGAGAGATGCGCCTGCTGAGCCGGCGAGTAGAGCGCCTCCCCATCTGGTTCTCGTCCATCCTTAATTTGGCCTCGCTCGGGGCGGGCGACGCGGGCACCTCGAATTCGATCAACGGTTGTAGGTCGGCCACCATTCGTGTAGATTCCTTCTTCGGTTCGATCGGCCAGCGCGAGTTATGCCGCTTCCTCGGCACCCATTTCAAGCGCTCTTCGGAAAATGTTGAGGGTTTGGCGTTGTTACTGTTCGGTGGGGTCACCGCTTCCTGCTCGGCGGTAGATACCATAGCTGGCGTCACTTTATTAGACCGCGTCGCACAAATTGCGGTGCCAATAGCCATACCTCGTGCTTCGACAAGAGCTTGCTTCCCGTCATGTCCTTCCTCCACCCTTGAATCCCACTTGGCGTCGCTCCAAGCCTGCATGTGACGCGCGCGTCGCGCTCGCTTCCGTGGACCCTCGCCTTGCCGTTCGAGCTCTGACATTGCGCGATCGTATGGCCCCTGGCCGGGTTCTGCGACTTGCCCACCGACTCGTTTCCAGATTCTGAGCTGTCGACGAAGGCCGGGGGCAGGGACAACAGCAACGCGTTGCCATGCCTTCGGGCAGGATGTCCGTGGCGGCAGGAAACAATCAGCGGTAATCGGGCTGCCAGAGTTCTAATTAGCTCACATTCCAACCACGAAATATTGGGCCGTGACCGCGACGTACTCCTGAGACAGCATGCCGCTGTCGCGTGTGGCCTCGGCGCCAATGTTGAGAGGGTTTATCATGATGACGAATTGGCAAAATAAAAAAAAACTAAACGTTGGGTATCAGTGGCAATAGTAAATAAGAGAAAACATCACCAGTCACTCATGTCAATACAGACCATCGGAGGAGTGAGTGGGGGGTGCAAAAAGTTATGCGACGCGTCTGCACCAAATAAATCCCGTCGCGGGAATCGTGTCTTGGTTCAGAGAGGGTCCCCTCAAGCCATGCGACAGGGAGTCAATTGTTTACATCTCCAAACTGCAGCCAATCATTCTCAGCCAATGTCTTTCTCTCGCATGCTCTGCCAAGTGCCGGTCCACCCCTGGAAGCCGACGCTTGCCAAGCCCACTAACACGTGACCATAAATCTTTCGAGCTCCACCCATTTTCAATGCCGACTCTCGAACGAATCTCGACTCGAGCGACGGCCACCCGCGATGCCATAGCAACACTGCCCGGCCACAAGAGAGCGACCGAGACCGCGACATAATGTCCACCAAGAACCCGATCCGGCTTCCGCCGCTCCGCGTGCTGCGTGTGCGCAACCCCAACCGCTCCGAGTCGAACCCCTGCGTGACCGTGATGTCTTCCGTCCTGGGTATGCGGGCCCCTCCACCTCCCTCCCTCCCCTTCCCACCACCCAACCCAACCGCCTCTCTCACCACAACCACAATCAACCACTAACACATCTTCACCCAAAACAGCCTGCTGGGCCTCGGCCGGCTACCACGGGAGGGGGTGCACGACGGTGGAGCAGGCGCTGCGCGCATGCATGGATGCGCCGCCGCCGCCCAAGAAGGGCTCCAACACAATCAACTACCATCTTGCCCGCTTTTCGAAACGGCTGATCGCCCAGGGGAAGAAGAACAAATAAGGGATCGGTTGATATTTCTGCTCCGGGAACGGCACGGTCGTCCCCCCCGGGACGAAGACCTACCTAGCATATCTCCCTCCGTGCACGACGAAGTTCGACGACGGGATGTGTTTGACGGGATGGTTCCCACTCCGTCCTTCCAAATGGCCAGGCGGTTGGGCCTAGGACGTCTTCGAAGGGCGAGAGGAGGCTACGGGGTCGGTGCATGGACGGATGATGACATTGCAATTCGGTGCCCAGGGAAATACCCAAGTTGCTTGTATAACAATGGTCGGGCAAGGGAGTGGGAGGAAGAGGCGTTACATTGGGAGGAGGCCGTTTTGGTCATACTAGAGTGTATAAAGCAAGTATTATTCGGGCCGTTTAACCTGGGCAATATGACATGGCAGCTCGATTGAAAGAAAACAAGGGCTACTAAGACGACCACAAAGCCAAAGCCAGTAATACCCTCCAGAACAGATACGCACCCCGTGTAGGTATCTCCCCAAATCTACAACAGTGAGCAAATGAACAAAACACCCAGTTCCATCGCAACATAAAAAAAAAAATAAAAAAAAGGAGGGGCTCCTCTTCACCCCTATTCAGGCTGAGCTCGACTCGCTGACGCAAAAAAGTTCAATCTCCCCCAAGCCTCCCGGCATGTTGCTCTGGCCCTCACGCCATTCAGAAATGGCAATCTGTATGTCGTCGTCGCCCTCGATGGTTACAAAATCGCCGTCCTCGTCCTGGTATCGCAGCTTCAAATCGCCTCTAGCGATGCTGCTGTTAGAAACCCGAGCGAGTTTGACGTCGATACGATCGATTAGGCTTTGGTAGGTGATGTTAAATTGGGCAACCAGCGTGACTGAGACCCCGTTGCCGTTCAAATCGCAGTTCACCTTCACTTTGAGCTGGTTCGGCATGATGTCAGGAGTCGGCGGAACCATATCGTTGGCCGAGCCGAACGGTGCAGTTGCGAGGCCCGGGGTGATTGATCGTGATGGATCCATGGGGGCGAGCGGAGCCATACCAGGGGGTGGAGGACCAGGTGGAGGCAGGTTGTTCCCACTCCCAGGTGTTCCTTGTCGCGGGTACACGGGTTGAGTAGGGAATTGCGCCATGGTACCCCCATACGGCGTCCTTATTCGTTGGGTCCCTGGAGAACTGGTGTTGGTCCGTATGGGAAGGTCATTTGCCGGGCTGCCGGCGTTACTGCGCGGGATGTTCGAGTCATGGCGTGCGTGGGTAGGGTGTGGGGGGTGGTGCTGGTGGAGGTGAGCTGGGATACCGGGGACGGCGGGTACCGGTTGTGTAGTACGTTGGCTCTGGCCATTGATATCTGGGGTGCTGTGGCTGCGGATACGCGAGTGCAGCTGGCTTGACTGCCCCGAGTCGCGAGGCATTACGGGCATTGAAGGTCCTCGAGGGTTGCGCCCATTCATGCCAAGGCCGTTGGCGGGAGATGGGCCGTCTCGGGAAGGTGCTCGGGGCATTGCCGGAGCAGTGTACCGGTTGCTATCCTCCGGATTCCAAGGTTGGGGTGTGCTGGTTTTGGGGAAAGGGTACCCTGAGCCGTTGAAGACGCCACTGATGGTGCTAGCACGGCTAGCTGGGGACTCTGCGGTAGGTGAGAAGTAAGATGTCTCAGCCGGGCGGTATAACGGCGACGCTTGGCCCTGGGTTTGAAGGCTAAGATTTGATTGCGCGGGTAGAGGCATCGGGAACCGTGGAGGTGCCGCCCGACCGATATTTGCCATGGGATGGGTACTATCGCCAGTAAGCGAGCGTTGACGGTGCAGGCTGTTGCTCGAGCTGTTGCGCTGGATTGTGCCTGGCATGGCCACGAGGGTGCTGGCTTGGGAAGAGGTGGGTGTTGTCCCCATTATGCTTCCGTTGGGCTCGTCCTCTTCATCCTCATCCTCGTCAAGATCCCGAACATAGGGGTTCTTCAAGCCGCCGGGCATGTTCTTGATCCAGGCAAAACCCTCTTCCACGATGGCTTTCTGGTCGAACTGAGGGGCGTTCTCTTGTCGCTGTTTATCGAGACCCGCGGCCCATTTCTTCATTGTGTCCTCATTTTGGAACTTGATCATGAAATTCTCCACGCCGGGATCCCCCTTCCACCAGATTTGGACGGTATAGGAACCTATACGGTTAGTGTTTCTTGAGCGATCGAGGGTCAAGGACGAGGTATGCTTACCAGTCTTGGACATGGCAACAACTTCTGTGACATTTGTCATGAAGATGCGCCCTTTGAGCTGCAACTTTGCGTTTTTGTTGCGCACCTTGGGTCCTGTTGATTTTGTCTTGTCCTTTTTATCCTTGGTTTTGCCCGGCACGACCTCCTTACAGCACAACAGGATGCATTGGAAAAGGTAGATCTCATACTTGGGAGAAAGGGGTCAGCAAGCAGCGAGTAAAATGCGGGTCACAGGGGAGGGGAAAACTCACGTCTTTCTCCTGGTCACCTTTGCCAGTAACGACAGTGTAGACTCCGTGCATGAGCAAGTCACCGAAATGATCCACGCGGTGTTTTTTCCAGTCTTCAACACGGTTCACTAAGTCGTCGACTGCTTCGCTCAGAAGATCCCGGTTCACAGCCTCGTTAGCCTTCTGAAGTACTCGCTCGGCAGCGGCGATCCCTGCTGTGAGGTCGGCCTTGGTCGCTTCATCCTCGCTCTTCTTTAGGAGATCCTAGAGAGTGTCAGATGGGGCTATTATGGACCCATATTTGGGGAGGGGGCTGCATACCTTGAGAAGAAGCGGGTATTTAACAAGGCGCTGCATGGGCTTCAGGAGGAAGCCATCGAGGGTGTTGAAGTCACAAGCAACAGGGTGATCAGCGGTCTGGATCTTGTCAAAGACCTGGCTGGCTAGTTGCCCAGCCTTCCGCTGGTTTGCGATAAAGGGCTGGTAACACCGGTTGAATACCTCTTCGTTCCCAAAGAAGAGGGCGCCCCACTCCTGCCTCGCTTGTGGCACCGAGTTCGTTGTTTCCACCTTGATCAGGAACTTCCGCTGGCAATCCAGAATGGCATTGATATTGAGGAAAATGTCGTGAACTTTGTCGCCAGTGATGATGCCGTTCTGCTCCAATGTCTTCTTCAAATCATGGAGGTGTTCCAGATCCTGGACGTACTTCCGCTCAGTGTCAACCAACTCGCGGACGACATAGTCACGGTAACTCATTTGTGAGCCTGCTTCCATCGCATCGTCTTCAGGATAAGGCTGGATTTGAAGAAGGAGGCCCCGCTGCTCGGCAAGATCCAGAACATGGTTGATCACGGTGGTGACCTGCAAGTCAAGTCAGCTTACTGGTGGCCACAAGCACAGAACACACAGGGGAACTCACCTTCACAAACCCGGTGGTGTCATTGCCTGCAAGATCGGTGATGATAAAGACATCAGTTGTGGGAAGCATGAGCTTGGATTTGCAAGCCTCGACAAAGCGGAGAATGGCAATCTTTGACCGCTTCGACTGGGATGCCTCGGGCGCTGCCTGAACTTGCAGCGGAGTTTCTGGTTGCAGAACGTTGTAGATGGCCAGGAGCGGATATCCGGTTCGCAGGAGCTTCCATAGCGATTCGACAGGGCCCCCCTCATCCGGATCCGCAGCCATGATTTCGAGCTGATCCATGTATGCTTCAAAGCCCGGCACCTTGGCCAGCCTCTGTTTTAGGGCAACGCATATTTGATAGAGTGATCGGGATGCGTCGGCCCTCTGGTTTATGATGTTACTGGTTGCCACGACCTGGCCATTTGGCTGTGCAGAGGATAGGGAGTTCACGGAGGAGGAGGAGTTGGTGGTCGGAAAAGTTGCTGAGCCAGACAGTTGGCTCGCGCGGGGTGCGTTTGGCACGCCCATACTATTCATCCGGTCAAGAACATCCATAGTTGCGACCGGGCCTGTGTTCGTGCGAAGGAGAGAAGCATAGGCCATAACTATCTCTCCGTCCGCACAAGCCCAGCCGGAAATGCACGAGGCGGGAGAGGATGATCGAGCCGACTGTGACGGACAAAGCTGGGCTGGGTTTCAATCGAGGCTCTGTTTCGAAGATGCGACCACAGTAGGCGAGAACAACAGAAATGAATCGACGAGAGGTGCCGATTGATTCCTGAAGTAGTCGAAGGTGACGAATTCGAAGGCAGTCAGGAGGCCTTTTTCGATGGTTGGGCTCGTCGGTGCCCGCTTTATCGGTCTTAAGAACCCCTGTAAGGTTTGGCCGTGTTGTCGCAATTGCTGCGACTCGTATCGTGTTGCACGATTCGTAGTTTCGTGGCTCGTGGGTTCTCTAGTTATCGCTCGAGTGATCGGTGTCCAGATTCACTTGGTGGTGTTGCGCTCTCTCTCGTTTGACCTCCTCTTGCGCTGGGTGGTTGGTCGTTATCGCCCGGCCTGTCTGTCGGTATTGTTGTCTGTCGTTGCTGCCTTTGGCTATTCCTTTGTAGCCGTTGTACGATTCCCTTTTTCTTTGGATATTTTTTGGACGAGCAGCGGCCGTGAGTACCGAATGTTCCCGCGAACTCGGAATCGGGTCACGGTGCTGAGATGTGGTTTGAAACGGAGGGTCGCGGCAAGTGACCAGTCCCCAAGTTGGTTGGTTGGCATGCAAAAGGTGCGGGCAGCCCATTCGGTGTGGGAGGCGCTGATGTGGGTTCACAGGGGGGGTGGAGAATGGGGGCCACGGAGTGCGGCGGGGGCAATAGCCAGCGTGATCAATGCGCCGTCGAGGCGGCGTCCAGTTCCTGCGACTGATAGACAAGTCCGACATTAATAAAATGGATGCCGGAGAGATGGTCGGGCAGGCCAACTGAGGTACCTCGGGGATATAACCCACCCAGCGGGTCATCAATGACATAAACAGCACAAATCGAACATTCTATCATGGCTGCAAAGCTCTCTCGTAATTCTGAGGGTTTACATAACTGCCTGACCTGGAGTGTCTGGCATGCACTTTAACCGTTGCATGACTGCCAACTTTTGGCCTCCTCCCGTCTTCGCTGGCTGATGTGAGCTACCGACTTGGACGGGGAGAACAGTTCCATGGTGGATGGCCAAGTTCACAGGCTAGAAGTAGCCCATGGCTAAACACAATGCATCCGAGTTGCCGAGTTCGAGACTCAAAAACTGCAGATGCAGTCGGTCGGCGCCTCGGGCTGTCCCCTTCGGGTAGCTTAAGGTCTGGGTAAGGACTCGAAGAGAGCCTAACAATTGACCATCCACTGCCTAATTCGAGACCCTACGAACCGCATGTAAACTAGAAAGAAATCCAATACGAATATTTGCTAATAAATCTACAAATGCGAGCACTATCCCAACATTCAAGAGGGATTTCGGCCGTCGTTAATGACAGCGACCAGCTCAGGAGGTGAAGTGGAGGAAGGAGGTGATCGGCGCCGCCTTGCTGCCCCTCCATTCAGGCATAATTCTGACGGGCCTACCTGTTTCAGAACTTGAGCCGTCGTGTGCTAAACCTTTTTAGTAAGCCTAGATCTTCATGTCACCAAATCGTCAAGCACGTGAGCGAGCGGACTGTCAACCTCAACCCGATCCCTTGACAAAAGTTGACATTTGGCCGCTGCAATGGGCTGGCATGAGGTTGGATTCGAGACCGCCTCTAATTTCCCTCGATCTTTTGCAAATGTCCCCCTTTTACCTGAAGCCAGCACGTGGCCCAGGCCACTGATCACGCTAGAACAAATGAACATCTGGAACATCGAATCGGCTTCCTCCCAAAATTTGGCGGGACAGTCCCTGGTTTGTGTGTTGGCGCCTTGCTTTGGAAAGGGGACGGCCCGAGCTATCCTTGCAAATAAGGAAGAAGGGGATGCTAGGTGACAACCCAACAGCTCTAATCCGTAGACGTCAAGCGTGGTGTCTTTCCTCTTTTGCTTTCTCTCAGTGGATCTCACAAAGCCTCCGTCACCATGCATCGCTAACAACACGGAAAGCGAAACCCACACAGGTCGGCGTGTGTGATTGGAACAACTTCCATGGCATCACCGCTCGGCTGCCAGGTGTTTTTCAGATGTAAAAGAGCGCCCCAAAACATTGTTCCTTCGGGAGTATATACAACATCAGCATTCTTAGGAGACAAAATCAAGTAGAACTGAGAATAAATGCAGCAACGATGTCATCAACTAATGATTTTAAAAACAAGGGCGCAAGAAGGGTGACAACAACCCAGTCGGGTGTAAGTGACTCTGCTCGTGCATAAAAAAAGATGGAGTATTGCCCAGTTTGTTTCCCGAGTTTGGTGTATTGTGTATGACCAAAGCGCCATTTGTTTCTAGAATATGGCCTGGAAAGAAATTATCATGTTATTTTAAACGTGGTTTTAAGATTTGATATCCCAATTACCTACTTCGTACTGCCTACCTGCATCATGGTTACGTAGGTAGGTAGGGAGTAAGATCTTGAAAGTGGCCGATCGACTGCTGGCTTGCTTGCTTGAGCAAAACCTGGAACCCACCTCACCTCGCCCCGCCAACCTACCCCGGCACAGCCCGGCAACCCAGTTCACTGGCAGTTCCAAGACATGAACGGCGGGAGTTTGTCAGCCGCCGTCCCGCCTCACAGGGCGCAAGCATGCAACAACAACAAACATTTGAAATCATCTATCCGCAGGAACGCATCTTTCTGTCTCGGAAACTACCGCCATTAGATTGTTGGGCAGCAAGTGACAATATCCTGCTGTTGCACAATTAACGGACAAGGCTGCGCCACGGCGCTGCATCACGACAATACCAATCCTAGCGGCGAATCGTTACACAGGACCAGCGACAGAGACGCCCTGTTGCCCTGTTGCCCCCCACCGACGCTGCATTTTCGCCTCGTTTCTCTCTCTACGGCTCATTCATCGCGCCTCTTCCTATCAACGGATGCGCGCAAGGCCGTGGCTCGACGGTGTTCTGAGCACAGATCTGTGGCCCCCGACAAGCGATGGCTGGTTTCAATCCGCAGCCCGACGAAGGTTACTCTGAAGATCCTCTGACCGCCCTCTCCGCCGCGCCCTCCTTCCCGTTCAAGTCGCGCGAGGACGCTGTCTCGGCACTGGGGTCAGCTCGATCACGCGACGAGTTCCCGCCATGGTTGCTACAGCACATTTCTAGCCTCTCGCTTACTCGCAAGACCGGTAAGTGTTATCCTCTCGATGCTTTTTTATCCTCATCCTCCCCTGCCCCAGTGTGGGTTCTCACCGTCTCGCGAGTAGAACTGGCCATGGCCATCCTTAACGACCTCCCGACGACCGTGATATCTCAAATTGTCGAAAACTTGCACCCTCGCCTCTACATCGATTTTGTTCGATACCTGCCTCCCGAGGTCTGCCTCAAGATCCTCGAGTTCCTCGACCCCCTTTCACTCATCAACGTCGCGCGATGCTGCCGGGCATGGTACGTGCTCGCACTAGACAGGAAGTTATGGGAGCAGTTGTTCTTCCTAGAAGGATGGAAAGCAGTGCCGGACGAGGTTCTGGCAGCCGAACGGGAAATGAACGGGCCTTCCTCTTCGTCCACCCACGGCGTGCTGCGACGGATGCAGTCCCAAGACGACGGGCACGCGCATAAGAAGCGCGCCATTTCCCTATCACCGAGGCTCGACGCCGATACGGACACGGTGATGATCGATGCAGGGAGCGCCGTTAAGCAGGAACCAGCAGAGATGGAGCCGGCCGAGACCAGTATCTTCGGAGGTCCAAGGAGGCCGGCCTTGAAGACTGGTATCTCTCAGCGTATGGGCGATCTCGACATGCCAAGCGCGCTATCGAGATCCAATTCCAAGGGCAAGGCGGTGGACAAAGGCAAAGGGAGAGCGCTTCCTTCTACGTCGTCGGAGCCCTCGCATGCCAGGCCCTCCTTCTTGCAGACGGTGATGGAGCCACCACGCCTGGCCAGATCGGGGCTGTGGGCCTGGGACGGACCGTCAACACGATACAAGATCAACTGGAAATACCTCTACACGATGCGGCGGCGGCTCGAATCCAACTGGGAGCGGGGTCGGTTTGTGAACTTCCAGTTCCCACACCGTTCCCATCCCGAGGAGGGCCACGAAGAGTGCGTCTACAGTCTCCAGTTCAACTCGCAATACCTCGTCAGCGGGAGTCGGGACCGGACGATCAAGGTGTGGAACATGAAGTCGCGGCGATGCCTTCGGACTCTCGCCAAACATAAGGGTTCCGTTCTCTGCCTACAGTTCGATTCTGACCCCGAGGAGGATCTGATCGTTTCCGGCAGCTCAGACTCGGACGTGATCGTCTGGAGGTTTTCGACAGGGAAGCCGATCCAAATACTAAAGAATGCCCACCGCGAATCAGTCCTCAATGTCAAGTTCGACAAACGCATTTTGGTAACATGCTCCAAGGACAAAACCATCAAGATTTTCAACCGCAAGCCGCTCCGCCATGGAGACCTCGGCTACCAGGAGGTCGACCCGGTCCCGGTGAATCTGAAGAATTACGGCTACAATCTCCCGATGGCGCCTGACGATTTCCCCGTGATCCCGGCGTGGACCATGATCGGAAGTCTCGAAGGCCATAGTGCCGCCGTCAATGCGGTCCAGATCCACGACCGTGAGGTGGTATCCGCGAGCGGCGACCGGCACATCAAAGTCTGGGACTGGCCGACCCAGGTGTGCAATCGGACAATCGTCGGGCATAGTAAGGGTATCGCTTGTGTGCAATATGATGGTCGCCGCATCGTGAGCGGCAGCAGTGATAATGAAGTCAAGGTGTTTGACCGCCAAACTGGGCTCGAAGTTGCCAACCTCCGTTCACATTCGAGCCTCGTGCGTACGGTCCAGGCGGGTTTCGGAGACCTACCGTACAGCGTCGAAGACGATCTGGCCGAGGCGAAGAAGGTGGACCAGGCGTATTTCAAGGCATTGCAGGCTGGTCTGCTGGCGGAGCGGGATCGCCCTAGGTCAGGCCGACGCTATGCTAACCCAGGATCTCGGCGGCCGGAGGATATCTGTGCCTACGGTGCAAAGCTACCGCCCGGCGGCGGCGGTGGCAAGTACGGGCGAATCGTCAGTGGCAGCTATGACGCAAGCATCATCATCTGGCGAAGAGATAAGGAAGGCCTTTGGAAGGACCAGCATCACTTCAAGCAGGAGACAGCCGCCATTGCGGCCCTGCAACACGACCGGACGGGTTTGGCCCCCCTACATCCAGCCGTCCAGAGTCTCGTCAGTCGCGAAGCTCTGAGGGCATTGAGGGCAGCTGGCTCCGCGCCTTCGACTGCGGCATCCGATGCCGCAGGGCCGTCCACGGTCACGTCCAACGGAGCGTCTCGGTCGCAAACCGCCAGCGCGCCGCCCAGTACCTTGACAGGGCCCACGCTGCCCCCGATCGGTGCACTCGCGATGGAGTTTGGCCAGACCGAGTTTTCGTCGGCGGGGTTTCAACAGCTTCGTCAAGTCATCGACAGCTCGGTCCAAAATGGCTCACAAGCGCTAGGGCAGGCCATTGCAGCGCACCCCGCGATCCTCATCCACCGTAGCTATGTGGAAGCCGCGATCGACCGACACCAAAACCCCGTCGTTCGGAGCCAGCTGAGGCAGACGTACTCAAGCGCCTTGATCAGGGCACAGTTCGAGCAGGCAAGGCAAAGACGTGAGGCTCTACGGAACCAAGAAGCCGCCGCATCTAGTTCCGCGGTCGCGGGCCAGTCTTCCACTGAGGGAGCTGCAGCTGCAGCCACAGCCGCACAGACAGGTTCCCAAATGACGCCCGTCCAGTTGTCGGCTGTAGCGGCCCTCCAGCCAAACGCGCACGCTCCCAATGGGGCGCCGATGCATCAGGCAGCATCTCCCGTTGCTACGTCTCTCGCCGCCGCGGCCGCAGCTGCTTTACCCCCCGCTCCCGCTGCCGTTGGTTCTAGCTCTGCCTCCATGCCGGGTGTGACCCTCCCTGGCCATACCACCACCCCGCCCCAGCTCCCACCCCAAGGACAAGCACAGCATCATCCGCACATTGCCCAAGCACCTGCGCCGTTCGAGGTCCATGACCCGGCCAACCCAGCCCGGGTGTTCAAGCTGCAATATGACGCTCGGCGCATCATCTGCTGTAGCCAAAGGAGCGTGATCGTTGGGTGGGACTTTTGCAACGGGGACACCGAATTGGAGGAGGCGAGCCGTTTCTTTGGTCCTGTGGATTAAGGAGGCGGGAAATGGGCTTTGGAATAGAGATGGCATCATCACAGTTTACGGGTTGGGTTTCAATGGGCACACTAAGAGGGTTTCTTCTTTTCTCAAAGGACATGATTGACGATGTAATGGCAGGCGTTTGTAGACTACCTCCAGGATTACCGAGCGACCTGTATATATAACTTTAATGAACATGCCCGCAAAGCGCAGCGCCGTTGCCAATCGTGTACCAGATTATGTGTCAAGCAAAGTGATATCGCTTATTCCATGTTAACGACCCTGATGAACTCCGTTCCCTCTCCCTGTCTGTGCTTCATCATCCTCAACTCAACTCAACCAGCAGCCTCCTTCACCTGCCCCGTCGTTGTCGGCGCCTCGTCAATAAATTCCGGCACCTCATCCTGCATAAAACTCGGCAACGCCCCCTCCATCCCCGCCCCAGCCAGCTCCCTATCCAGCTCCACCTCCTGACCGAGCGCTTCCAACTCGGCATCCAATTCCGCCTCGTCCACATCCTCAGGCACATCATAGCTCCGCGCCAAACTCTCCTGGATCTCGTTCCCCACATCCAGCAAATCGGCCATCTCGTCCTGCAGGCGCTCGATCTTGTCGACGTCGACCTTGCCGTACTCCTTCTTCAGTGCCTTGTTGGTGCTCTGCAGCGCGTCGATGGTCACCATGGTGTTCTTGAGGTTGTCCTGCATGGTCTGCGCCTGCTCCATGTTCCACACCTGCGACTGCAGCTGGTCGCGCTGCGCCTCGTACTGCTTGCGCCGCTGCAGCACCTTGAGCGCCTTTTGCTTGAGCGCCGTCTTGCCCGGCCCCTCGCGCATCTTGCTGAGCTTGGTCTGGTAGCCTTGCAGTTCGGCGTTGAGGGAGGCGAGCTTGACGTCGATGGAGGACACGCGCGTGTCGATGTTTGAGATGGCTGAGTTGAGGGTGGCTTTGGGCGCTTTGGGAGCCGTGCTCCCGAAGAGGCGGTTCATTTTGACGGTTGGAAGGGGGGAGGGGGCTAATAACGGTGCGGTGGGTGGAAGGTGTCGTTTGGTGTGGTTCTTGTGGTGGGGGTTGTTATAGAGGCGGTGATCTTATGGTTTGGTGTTTGGATTCTTGAACGCCTGCTACCGGACTCCAGCTGCACCGAGGGGTGACGACGCAGCGCCAGGCGTCAGGGTCAGGGTGTGTGGGACCTGAAAGGCGGGGCTGCAAGTCGAGGTGGGGCAGCGATTGACGATGGTGGGGCTGGTGGGGTCCGAATTCCACAACTGCCGCCATCGTCAATGTTGCCGCATTTATTCTGATGGCTCCACGACCGACTGGCAAACGAACAACGGAATCGAATACAGCAGCCCTTGGGAAACGAGTTGAGTCAGCACAGGTAATTCAGGAAGTCTAAGAAACTGTATACATTCAACATGAGACTCTATTACGAAGGCAACCGTTTGGGACCCTGCAATTCTGATGTGCGGATAGAGAATCTCGTAGCTACTGGAAGACATTACAAGACCAGGCGTCGACGGGACAACTTGGAGGTTTGGGGGATGGAAGTCTATGATGTCAGACGGGCTCTGCTGCACTTGACCTGATTTCTTCTTATTCTTCCTCTTCTTTATCCTTCTCCCTTTTTCTCTGTCTTTTCTCATTCTCTATCTCCTTTCCTTTCTTTTATCCTTTTCTTTTTCTTTCTTTGTTACCATTTTCGTTTTCTTTTCTTCTACCATTCTAATTAACATCGATAGGGCTCGGGTTACATATAGGAGAAACAATAAAGTTTGGGTTATATATGAGAGAAATCACGGTTAGTCTAGGAATGTCAGCTCTGTAATCGACAACCAACTCGGGCACCGAGGGAATGAGGCACCATCCCCCAGGGCCTGGGGAAAAGAGAAAAGAGAAAAAGAAAAAAAGAAAAAGAGAAAAAACTGGGCCAAATACAGCAGGAGCGCGTCTGATATCATAGACTTTCCCCCACCCCCACCTTCCTCGCCACCGTGTTACACCTCAACCTCACATACAAACAACACACATACTACTATCGAGCCATCAAATTCAGAACAGTACACACACGAACACCCGAATCAAAGTCCGCATTGAATATTATGGCCCCCCAAAATATCGTCGTCGTCGGTGCAACCGGCCAGCAAGGTGGTGCCGTAGTCAAGTCACTGCTCGACCTTCCCGAGAGCTCATCACGCTTTCGCATCCTCGCCCTCACCCGCAATGCTCAATCCGAACGTGCCAGGCACCTTGTATCAGAGCACAATGGCACAGTCTCGCTCATTGAAGGCGACAATGCGGATCCCGGTCCCATCTTTGCGTCCCAGCCCGAGGGCTCCATCGACAGCATCTTCATCGTCACCGTTCCCGGCCAAAAGACACCAGAAGAGCAACAAGCGATCCCGCTCATCGACGCCGCCGTCGCCCACGGCGTAAAGCACATCGTCTTCAGCTCCGTCGACCGCGGCGGCGACGAGAAGAGCTGGACCAACCCGACCACCATCAAGCACTTCCTCGCCAAGCACAACATCGAGCTCTACCTGCGCGACAAGGCCGACAAGGAAGCCGGCGGCAAGTTCACCTGGACCATCCTCCGCCCCGTCTGCTTCATGGACAACATGAAACCCGGGCATGCTGTGCTACATGTTCACGGCCATGTGGGACGCCGCGCTGAAGCCCGACACCAAGCTCCAGCTGGTCGGCGTCAGGGATATCGGCGTGTTTGGTACCAAGGCCTTGAGCGACCCCGCGAAGTGGTCGGGCAGGGCCGTCAGCCTGGCCGGCGATGAGCTGACCCTGGCTGAGGCGAGGGAGATCTTTCAGAGGGTCGTGGGCGGGACCCTGCCGCAGACTTTTACCTTCCTCGGCAGGGCGTTGATGTGGGGGTTCAAGGAGATGGGGGATATGTTTTGCGTTTTTTGAGAGGGAGGGGTATGGAGCTGATATTGAAGCTTTGAAGAGGGAGGCGCCGATGCAGGACTTTGAGGCTTGGTTGCGCGATGGTAGCAAGTGGCCGAGGCAGTAGTACTTGGGGGTGAGGTGTTCTTGATCGTTCTGTAATGTTTTGTTGTGATACAGTCTACTTAATCTTACCGTTTCTCCCTCCTATCATCGGTTGAGCCGGGGTTGAGCTGTGTTCCGAGCCATTCGTACTGTTGACCTGAGAGCTCGGGGGTTAAGGTTTAATCTGAGGCCCGAAAAGGATCACACCGATTCGGTGGTTTCCTGTCGCCCCCAGGCATATTGATAAGTCGCCGTCGGCTGCACAAAGTGTTGCGCGTAAGGCAGAGCCAGCAAGGAGTTGCGGACTGAAACCTTGAAATGGCCGGCTTTGTGTGTCTCGGACAGAAATCCGACGGAATATAACATGGTACATAAAAACTCAAGACCTGGTGCCCGAGGCGCAGGCGAATTCGAAACCCCCAACAGGTGTTGTGCCACATCCGTGGGTGAGCGGCACAGTCACCACCAGGGTCTTGAAGGAGTTCCCAGGGGCTCAAGGCAGAACATAAAACATGTTACAGCCCGATAAACTTTAGCTAGACCCATTTTTGTGCCGTTCGCTAGGAATGCCGACACTAGGTTTGCCCAGAAATAGCAGTGCCTCGCGGTCTACGCCGTGGTCATGGAACAACAGGCCGCACCAACAAGGTGTTTGTCCGTAGGAGCCGCCGCCGTGCCGTGAAGGGAGCGATTACAGTCCCGGCGCAGCTTTGGGAATATAATAGTCTCGGAACGGACAGGCCGTGAGGCCTGCACCTCTAGGTGGACCAACTCGCCATGACCGCGAAGCCTTGATGTCACCGCCAAACCTAGGCTCGCATCTCCACATCGCCGACGACCTCGCCAAAGTGCAGTAAAGCACTCGGAACTATCCGCATCCTCGATTCGACCCCGGATCACCAAGCTCCACCGTCCCACCATCTCACAATGGCACCCAGCAGCCGGCCCCCCAGCCTCCCGTCCATCCCGGACATCGCTCTCGACCTCGACGAGAAGGCCCAACTCCTCCCCGAACTCGAGGAGGTCCTCAGCTCAGGCGCAGAAACCAGCACCACCCTCGACGAGGAATACGACTTCCGACCCTCGCGCTCCCACAGCACGCGCACGCAAAACTCCTTCCACCGCCGCATCGTCCTCCCCTCCCGCTTCCTCTCCATCAGCAGCAGCCACGCGCCCACAACACTCACCACCCTCCTCCTATCCCTCCGCCACCACGACGTAACCTGCCAAGTTCAGCCATTGTAAGCTCTCTCTCCCATAACCCTCCCACCCACCCAACAAACAAAACCAACAAACCCCCCAACTAACCCCCCGTCAGACAACTCCCCCCCCACCCAAAAAACCATCCACGAATCCTGGACCATCATCTACCACCACCCCCCGCCGCACACCAAACTGCACATCCGCGCCGCTGGGCATCACCCTCTGGCGGCAATTCGACCTCCGCGCCGCCGAAGAAGGCTCCGTACTATCCGTCGTGCCCAACACGCACTTCGAGCAGGCGGAGCTGGCGGCGACGGTGGCGCTGCACGAGGCCAGCGTGACGGCGAGCGCGGGGCGGCGCGGGGGGGCGGCGCCGAAGCGCACGCTTTCGAAGCCCAAGATTGTGGGGAGCGCGGCTGGGAAGGGGGCCAGTGGTGGGGGTGTTGGTGCTGGTGCTGGTGTTGGGGAGGGTTGGTGGGAGGGGGCGGTCTACGCGGCGGATTTGGAGCGGCGGGTGCGGGCGCTGGACTGGCGCGTGCAGGATGAGATTTATGAGTTGTTGAGTGACCGGGTGCAGAGCAGTAGTAATGCGTTCCGGCGGCGGGATTGGCGGGTGGTGGCGCTGACGGAGGTCCCTGGGGGTGAGCTGACGGACGCGCCGACGGGGTTTCGGGCGTTTGGGGAGGTGAAGAGGGGGTGGTTTGGGTTTGGCAAGACCAGGCGGCTGAGTGTCAAGGCGAAGCGGTGGCCGGATATGCCCGTGACTGAGTACAGGCTGATCCTGAGGGGGGCTGAGACCAAGACGAATGACCAGGGCTGGGGCCATTACAACCGGTACAGTCGGCCATGGCGGGCTGCTGATGAGAAGGATATTGGGGACAGGAGACGGTGGTCCAGCTTCACGGGGAAAAGCGAGAAATATGTTGACTTTTGAGCGTGAAAATAAGGGTTGGGGCATTGCGGACGGAGCATGGACGGCGTATAGACGGCGTTGTTTTTGTCTATCATTAAACTTTCCTATGTTTTGGTCAATGAAGATTTGTCGGACAATGAGAGCCGCAAAAGGTGCCGTCGGGATGCCAAAGGGATATCCCATCTCCTTCGCTCGGCTGATATCCAACTCCTGGGCGTCCTCACTGGGATGCCTGCCACTTCGGCACAAGCTCCGCGTACACAGCCCGCTCCAGCTCATCATACATCTTGAGGACATTCGGGTCCTTGTACGGGAAGACATTGACAAACATCGCAGCGCCGATACCCGTCTCACGATCAATCCACTGTGGACGTCATGTTAACAACCTGGCGCAGCAACCCATCGCAGAACCGACTTACCCATCGTGAATTGCACATGCCAGACCACATCATGCTCCCCTTCCTCCGCTTTCCCTCCACATCCTCCATATTGATGGTGCCTCCGATCCCATAATCGACCGGCGTGTCCTCGGGCAACTCAGCGCCAGATCCAAATTCCCAGAGAATCCCCCGCAACCACGCCCGCTGTGTCTCATCCAACTGCGGCCTAAACATTTCATCCACAACCTCCTTCTTCAAGATCCCCTCACCATCCAACCCCTTCAGCACCGCCTGCATAACCTTCGCGTAGTCCCCAGCACACGTATACAACCCCGCGCCGCCGGCCTCGTACTGGGGCTCCGCGGGGAACATCTCCGCCCTCTCACTCAACTCCCCCGTCTCCCCATCCCTCTCAGAAATCGGCACAAACCTATCTTTCTTCCCCTCCCCCACCACCCGACCACGAAAGAACCCCGTACCATCCATCCCCAGCGGCTCCAACACCCACTCGCGCAGGTACTCGCCCAGCGACACCCCCGTCACGCGCTCGAGCGTCTGCCCGGCCCAGTCCGGGCCGGTGCCATAATACCAGCCGGCGCCGGGCGCGAACTTGAGCGGCGTCGCCCAGCCGGCGATGGTGCAGCTGGCGACATTGTCCGTGACGCCGGCCCAGGCCGCCCAGCGCATCAGGTCCGGGTCGCCCGGGTTGGTGCCCAGGCCGGCCGTGTGGGTCAGCAGCTGGCGCAGCGTGATCGGGTGCGTGTTGGGCTCCAGCAGCGGCGCGCCGCTGTCTTTCTCACCACCCTCGCCATCGGGGGCGAAGCCCTTGAGAATGGGCAACGCGGCGAGCTCCGGCACGCGCGGGCGCAGGTCCTCGTCGAGGGTCACGAGGCCGCGCGAGACGAGGTGCATGAGGCAGGCTGTGGTGACCAGCTTGGTCATGGAGGTGACCCAGGTGATGGAGTCTGTTTGGAAGGGAGGTGAGGAGGGGTCGACGCGGGTGCGGCCCGCAGAGCCTTGATAGATGGGGCCTTCGGGAGGGCGTGTTAGTGGAAAGGAACAAGAGGGAAGGTTATGCGGTGGTGGGGTATGTACATACCATCTTTACCAACCACAACAAAGGACGCTCCGAGGAGTTTGTCCTTGGTTGCTGTGCCGTCGGCGACATAGCTTTTAAGGATGCTGTCAAGCTTCTCAGCCATGGTAAAAGGTGACTCTTGCAATTGCGTGCAGTGGCTCGACAGTTAATGTGAGGGGAAAAGAGAGAATAGTCTAGATTTGACTACGGAATATATCGTGGAGGACGGCGTGAGATGTCTCAGGTGGGTGTTGATTTCCGGGGCCAGCCCAGGGGTTAAAATAGAGCAGCCTCGCGGTATCGACAATGGGCCGAACGGGCACTGCTTACAGGTTACATGTTGTGAATGCCCGACTCTCCACCGGCGTGTAAATGTGGAGAAGGACTAGTGTTGCTCTCGATCTGCAACCGTCAGGCCTGACTCACGCCGGTATTCAACCAATCGTCTGTGTCGATGGGCATCCTCGCATCCAAAAATGGAGGTCGATCCCGCGTCAATGCCGTTCGTACAGCACCCCAATGACATGGCCGGCGAGGCTCACACAAGTCCTTGAAGGACTCTCCAACATGTTCCAGCCACAGTGTTAATAATATCCGTCTCCTGCTCAGAGCCCTGCGAATCCTGCAGGTCTTGGCTGAGAAGAATGGGTAATTGCTCGAGCCTGGCTGGCGATTCATCGTTGTGGGGGCCAAGACGGCTTTCCATATCAGGGCCAAACCCGCCGACAACAGCTTCAAGCAAAGCGGCCGACTCATCAAACAGCTTGAAGTAATCGAGAGTGAGCAACCCTTCCACCTGAGATGTGACTGTCTCATCCAGCAGCTCAAGCATTTTGATGGGCGAAAGTTGGGAAAGCTCCGAATCACGTTCGAAGTCTACCTCGTCGTCGGTGGCTTTGGCCACACCATTCGCGATCGTCAAGGTCCCGTCGCCAATTTCTTCGCCTGCATCGGTCGTGTTGGTATGCAAGAGTGCAAGTGTGTTGCGGGCGCCTTGTCGTTCCGTGCGCTCAATCTGCAGTCGCTGTGTGGTGAGTTCCCCGAGGTAGTCAACAAAAGGTGCGCGTCTTTCGTCAAAAGCATATCGCTGATACAAACTCTGTCGTACGGCCACCGCCGCGTTTGGACGACCGCTATCGGCTGGGTGGGTGGCCTTCTCACGTTGCGCCGACTTCCTGCCCCGTGATTCCGCGTACTTGTGGATGATAGCCGCTGCACTCTCCCCGTCTCGTGATCCGGCCTGATGCGTGTCCACATACTTATCCATGTCGTCCCAGTGAGGGAGGTCTGGGTCCGCCGCGCGAGCGGCATGATACAGGCATGCTGCAGCATCAACGATGGAGCTAAGCAGGACAAATTCATGCCCTAGCTGGCTATACACCAACTTTGCCCGGAAGTCGAGTAAACCTGCCCATACGGGCTCATGTCTGAGCAGAAAGAATGGCTCGGGGTCTTCCTGCATCCCAATCTGCCGGAAACGGGCCTTCTTGTCCTCGAACAAGAAGTCTTCCACCATGTAATGCTTAGTCTCCCAAAGGCGACCGATCCAGGCCCGCTTGAAGTCGTGGTCCTTGCGATACTTGTTTGGGTTGTGTTTTTCGAGCGCTTCTTTGAGCTTCGTGGCGGTGGTCTTCAGTTCCTCAAACGGCTTGTCATGATCGGATTCCATGATGTTGCGGATGTCTACCCAGAGGTGCAGGGAAAAGATGAGCGCCGAGTTGTAGCTGTTTCTCTTCAGACAATCCTGAAAGTCTAGTAAGAGTAGCGATTCCGTGGGTAGTACCGGTGGTTCCTGCTGGTTGACCTTGAGGGCCTTCAGGTGGGCGCCTTCGATGATAATCTGGTTGGTCACTAAGGTCTCGAAACTCTTCCACTCCTCCGGGGTCCGAGCGCCGTAGACGGTGGGACTGCGTTGAGACGGAGCCAGCATCGGCACCTTTCCCGGTGGTATCATCTCCAGGGTTCGTTGCAGTGTAAAATGGGATGGTAGCGCCAACCAGTCGGACTCGTCCCTCCAAATACGCTCGTCCTGCTCGTCCTCGGTGAGGTCGTCGTACGAGTCATAGTCGATATGGTCGATGCCGTAGTGGTAGAAGAGCATGCTCATCATAAAATCGTATCTCGCCAACTCGGGACTGAGTGGTCTCAGTTCCCGGACGAGATCGTACTCGAGCTGATGGAAAAGTTCGAAGGCGGCATTGGTGACGACGGCCAATGTGTCAAGCGGCACGGACCTGTCGTACCAGTAGTCGCACCACCGTTCCGCGATGTAGCTCCGGATGGTGTTGAAGTCTTCGAAGAAGCAATAGACCATCATGTAGAGATCGAACTCGTCCTCCTCCTCTTCCTCGCCGGGTAACCCAAAACGGAATTTGTCCACCCAGGAGGTGTTGTTCTTGGCCTTTGTCACTACCCTTTCGGATTTTGCCCCGTGCTTCTTGGGCTTTCCCATTTTCTTTCCACCCTTCTTTTTCCCCGGTTTCTGTGGGGCTCCCCTTTCCTCAATGGCCGCTTCTTCCTCGAATTGGTCGGCCGCAGCGTCGTCGGCTGTGTCAGGCTCGGTTTGTAGTTCGAGGAAGGCAAACATATTACTTAGGTCGGACGTATTAACCCGAGAGTTGTCGGTCGACTTCGGCCTGCGCTGGCTGCCCCCGCCGGCATTGACAAGGGCTTCCAGCCTGGCCAGGACCCGTTCGAGGACGCTGATGATGTGCGCGTGATTGGCGTTGCTCTGCTTGAGCTTCTCATCGTCGGTGTCTTTGGCAGAGCTACTAAAAAAACTAAAGCTCTTTTTCCGCAGACTCACGACATCGCGGAGGATGTTGAGGGCGGCCACGGGGACGTCGTCGGGGGTGGCATTATCGACGACCCGTTGGGCGAGGACCTCAAGCTGGCTCCAGTGAACAAACTTGCCGGCACCTGTGTCAAACGTAATCCCGATGCTACTCCCAGCAGACTTGGCTTTCTTCTTTTGGCGACGTGACTGCTGCGGTGTCGTCGAATCTGCGTTGCCATCCGCCTCGTCTTCATTTCTTGCGCCCTCATTCTTTCGAGTCAACAGCTTCTCCGCCGTTTGCTTCAGCCAGCTGGTAAATTGAGCCTGGCCGAGTTTGTAGCGACGCCATGTCCCCATGCCATTGAGTTGGTTTTGGACCTCCATCGGAGATGCACGTGGTCTTTGGGGCGTGAGAGGCTCGCGATGGAAGCATAGTGGTCAGAGCTCAGTATCCTCTCAGCATGCTCCTGCGCTCTGGCAGTTGAATTGGGTGGGTCCCTACCCCACTAAACCCCGCGTTCACGAAAAGACGCGCCACGCTCCCCAGCTAAAAATGTTTAGCGCCCCTTGTCAACTTCGCGGTTCCATCGAACTTCTCTGATGGACCTGTTGCGGCGGGGCCGCTTGAGTGTGGCCAAGCAGTTGAAAGAGTTGGCCGACGTCAACACTGCAGAGTTACCTCGCGATTCTCTTGTCGACTGGCCGAAAGTAATATTGCGAGGAAAGCAGTATATCCCAGAGGCTTGGACCGCCAAAAAGAGACCTAGGACGTCCTGGATCGCCAGCCATGGAAGCTATCTGATTGAGGCTGTCGATGGTAAGGCGGGAGCCATCCTTTGGTGTTGTACCTACTGCGACAGCCTCTTCAACAGTTTGGCAAATAGCAGTACCGCCAGCCATCTTAACAACAAACACAACCTCTTTGACGAGGCCAAGGAGCCGCCTTTGAAGAAGATGAGGTCGTCGTCGGTCTTAGAGATGCAGTACGCTGCCGCGGGTATACCGGTTCCGAAGCCAACAGCCGAGTCGGTCAGGTAGTCGCTTTCGCCTGCGTTGTTCGTAACGACCTCCCGTTTACCATCGTTGAAGATCCAGACCTCCGTCGAATCCTTGGATTGTTTAATCGCCAGCTCCTCGAATCAACAGTACCGGCAACAGCAAATACAATGCGGAACTGGGTCAAGGAACGGTATCAACAAGAAAAGGAAGCGCTTGAGAAGACACTGGCATCGACAGTGTATACCAAACACCTCTCTTTCGATACGTGGACCTCCCCCAACTCGCATGCATTGCTTGCTATTGTCGCGCATTTCATCGACGCGCAGTTCAACCTTCAAGCGAAGTTGTTGGGCATGGTCCAACTCCAAGGCTCTCACTCTGGCGAGGCGCAAGCTACCAAGATCTTGAGCATCATACGCGATTTCGAAATACAGCCAATCGGGCATTTCCAAAGCGACAACGCATCCTCAAACGACACATGTATCGCGGCTATCCTTACCCACATCGAGCCTACACTAGCAACCTCTCGGAGCCTCGCCGAAGAGAAGAAGCGCCGCCGAATTCGCTGTATCGGGCACATCGTCAACCTTGCCGCAAAAGCATGCCTCGAAGCCAGCAATAAGGAGTGGAAAGAGGGGGATACACATGCGCCAGTTGGGAAACTCCACCACATTGTACACTACATTCGCCGAAGCCCGCAACGCCGCGATACCTTTGTCAAGGTTACCCAGTTTAAACAGGCATCAGCTCCTGCAGTTGGCGACTTCAATACCCTGTTAGACCTGGCAGCTTCCTTACAACTTGTGGCCGACAACGAAACGCGGTGGAACTCAGTTTTCTTGATGATTGAGCGTGCGATTCGACTCAGGGAGTCTGTCGATCTCTACTGCATACAGTCTGTAGCTGAGAAAGATGGACTATCCCAGGAAAACATCCTCACCGCCGAGGATTGGGTTATATTAACAGAGATTCAGTCAGTGCTGAAGCCATTCGCAACTGTTACTACGTCGTTTGAGGGCAGCAAAGAGCCGACGTTGCCAGGGGTTCCACCCGCACTATACTTCCTGCGAAGCAGCTTGCTAGACCACTCTGGCGCGACAGACTCTACATCAGAGATGGCACCACCACCAACCCCATCGCAAAGACCACAACGCCAACATCGAATACCGGCACATCTCATCGGGTGCGAGCTTGACCTTCCAAGTCAGCGCTCGATAACGGTATCGCAAGCAACGACTATCCAGGCGGATGTTGATGAGCCGACAAGGATACGGAGCATCCAGAAGGGGATCAAGTCTGCCCTGACAAAACTCCAAGAATATATCGATCTCCTTGACGATTCTCCAGCATACTGGATTGCGATGATCTTACACCCGGGATATCAAACAAGATGGATGGAGAAATACCTCCCTGGATACAGAGTTGACTACCACATCGCCATCTTCAAGCAATGCTTTCAGGAACAGTACGCCGTAGAGGAGATTCCAGCTGATCCTGGGACCATCATGGGCGGTATGGAGTCGCAGGAAGGCCAGGGAAGTAACAGCTTCCTTACCGGTTTCTACTCCCACGACGAAGACGTGAACTATCACGAAGATGAGTTTACCGAATACCTCTCCAGCCGGTCAAAGAAGGTAGTCAAACCGCTCGAATGGTGGAATGCTCACGCCCAGCAGTACCCACGGCTGTCAAGGATGGCATTTGACTACCTGTCAATCCCAGCGATGTCTGCCGAGTGCGAGCGACTGTTTAGTCGCGCCAAACACTGTGTAGGCTACCAACGACATTCGCTTCACGCAGATTCAATAAACATGCTTCAATGTGTGAAGAATTGGGTAGGAAACAGGGAGTTGTAAAGCGCTGGCGTTTGTGGTCGAGGATGTGGGTGTCGGCCGAGCCAGGAGGTCAGCTAAGTCCAGGGGAGGGCACCAAGAGGACCAGTTGCCACTTCCTTAGTTAGAAAAGAACACGATTTGGTAGATCGCAGTTTCATTGCGTTTTTGAGCTTCTCTAGCGATTGCAAATTCGTTCAATTTGACTGCATTTTTGATATATTTGAGGCACTTGAGCCAGGGAAATGAAGGGGGCGATGGTCAGGGTTAGGGTCATATATGAGACCTACTTTTTATTTGCAATTATTTGACCAAAATATACCCTCAACGCAAATATAAGCTAGTATTTGATTGATTTGAGTTGTTGAGAGCCTTGCATTGAAGCCAAAACGCAACACTGCACCATTGATTCTACACCATCGGTTCAACACCATGGTGGACACATCACAACCCTCCAACCAACACTGGCCCAGTTTTAACTTTCTTGCGCCGATAATACCCGCACATTTGCTCCGTTACGGCGCCCGCTGTGCTGTGCGTAATTTAGCGCTGAAGCAAGGGACCGAGTCCAGCTTCTTACTGTGTACACAAGGTTGATCAGTACACTCGAGAGATGTCATTTTTTTGTTCTGTCTGTACTAGTCTGTGTTCAACCTGAGGGAGAATCTGTCCATGTCCACAGTCCGCATCGCCACTGCCTGGCTCCGCTTCTCCGTCTTCTCTCCACTGTCTCGGCACTTGCCCGACACAACGGGTTAGATGACCTGCGGTCCAGCAAACTCGGTGATTCCCCGCGAAAGTCCTAAGATCCGGGGTCCTTATGCGTGTCTCAGAGCGCCAACGTTGGCGCGTATCGGTCGGGGATAAGACCGTGGCTGGGCGTGGCTTCGATGGCATGCATGGGACTTCACCATCCCTCCGCTCTATCGAGACGGCTATTCTACATTCGATCTCGATCGCCCCGGGTTTGACAAGTAAAGCAAACTGTTCCGGGCGGTTGGGACCGTCCCGAGACTCTAACTGGGTAGCGTTTGGCTGCCGAAGCGCCGCGTACGCCACCTTGGCACAGGATCACAATCCGCCCACGGTATCTGACCGCCAGCCAGAGCGGCGTCGGGCTACATGACACCCGATCCCCGCCCCTGAAGCGCTCAAAACGACAAACAGTTATGAACCACGAGACCCTTCAACACTCACCGCGCACCGACATCATCACGCTAGCCGGATGAACTTGTCACTCGTGCCAGAAAACTCGTCTTCTATCTTTTCGTAGCGCTCAGATCTGACTCCCGTAGATCAATCCGAAAGCCTTCGGAGATGTGGAGGAATCGTCACATAATTTCAAGCTAGTGTAGATGATGCGGGCGAGGAGTTCGTGGGTGATGCCGTGCGGGAGAGGAGCCGAGGAGATTGATGCGGTAAGACAAGGACGAGGTGGAAGATCCCGCCAACAACGCCCTTGATTCAGCTGGTGACATGTCCTCCTTTTGCGTCCCGCACGGCCTTTACTTATCCCCTCACTATTCCATTTTGGGGATTTGGTAGCGAGGGATTCAATGCGTCTAAAGCCGCTTCGACCGCGGGCCCCGAATACGCACTGAGAAGCCCTGCTGGTGCCGGTATGTGATAACCAGCTGCCTTGGCATCGCAAGCCATTTGAGCCGAGAGCGCTGTCTTGCGTTAGCAATCAAAACAGGCCTTGATGAACGTGTCCCCAGCCCGGGCAAGCCACTTTCAGGTGACAGACATGCTGCTTGCCGCGGAGTTCAGTCTCGGTTGGCAACACTACCACCCTAAATCAGGATTTCAGCAATTCAGCTTCGAATCGATCCACGACACGATCCCATCTCGATGGGAGCGTCTAGATCTCTCGCATCGACACGTTGCCACCATGCCAAGTCCTGCGAGGCATGTCCAGGTCGCCAGGGGAGTGCCCTAGGTTCCGGGCAAGCCCTCTCATCGTCTGTCGCCCAGAGAGAGCCCCCACTGTGCTGCATGAGGACGAAAAGGGAAAGGACTGCTCTAAGGTTGACGCCAAAACGGAGGTGGACTGGAGCAAGACTCGTGACAGGAGGGCATCTGTCCGTTAGGGGCGCCTTGTACCTTTGAGAAGCTTCATCTGTAGATGCCCAGTCGAGCTAAAGGAGTTGGCTGCATGTGCCTCTTTGGGCCGCCTCGGATGCTGCACCACCCAACCCTTTGGAGATAATTCCGGTGAGGTCGATGACGATATTTGACTCCACAACTTTAGCCAGGGGACGCTTGACAAGCGAGACATGCGGAAAGGCCCTTCACCCTCGCCGTTGACGCGCAGACAACCGGTCAACTAGCTGGTTCTCAGACTGGCCGTGATTCCCAGAAGTGCAATTTTGGACCACTTTAATCATGCAACCCCGGATGCTTGACCCAGTCGACGGGGGCAGGGGGAAAACGACCTCGAGCACTGCATGGCTCTTCCACGCGAGTCGCCCCTCACATGTAAGTTGTAACCTCAAGGGGACTCGCTCGCAACAGTTGGACAGCGATGCATGCCCCTGATCTCCATGTCTCAATGCTCCACCGTCGTTGGCCGTTGGATGATCGACGGAAAAAAAACGGATCGCAGAGCTCCATTCGGTTATTCCAGAGACGGCACATCTTGTCTCGCGTTCGAACAGTATCATAAAATAAACCGAAAGACCATCTGCGGCGAGTCTTGGTCACATGAGCTTGCCGAGATGCGGCCCCGTCCGATGGCGACTGGAGTCCGGCAAGAAGCAAACATGTTTCACACCTATTATCTAGCAACCCCTGTCCATGTCCATGATGGGCCTTTCTCAGCCCTTCTCCTGCAACGCCCACAAACAAGGCTTCTCGGAAACACTAATCATGGTGCGACATTGATCGCCCACCGTTGACGGTTTTCCACCGGCGAGACCATCCTTTCCGGTTCGAGAATCTGGAAAAGAACGACTGGTATCTCGATTCTCGAGACGTCTCGCGGCTTGTTTGCACTTACCCCTGCCGTTTCAAGGGAGCCTTTACGTAGTAAGTCCGAAGGGCAAGAAGCAAACGATCTCCTTTCAACCGAAACATCCATCACGACTTTGCAGTTTAGCCTCGCCGCCACAGTGCTGGGTAGATCGATCGATGCCGGGGCACCAACACAGGAGCTGCCGGAATAAAACCTCCTCCAGCCCGGCTGGAGAAGTCGACGAAGGTACGGAAAAAGGGGTAATCGTTCGAAAGCAGTAAGCAGTGCTTACAAGTACCTCACGCACACACAAACAACCCCAGTTCGTTCTCGAACACAGTAACTGCATCCGCTTGATACGGTCCCCCCCTGCGGTTTCCACTCCCCGCCCCCCCGCCCCCGACCAGGCCTCGACCTGTCAGCCCGGCGAGCTCCGACGAACCGAACATTTTTAGTCGATAAGCGACGAAGGAGCGAAGCGGGGTCCTCTCGGAACGGCTACCGGAGAGCGGTCCATCCGGGCTGGGGCCCGGGCCAGGGTGGACCGCACCATTCCGGAGTCCAAAAAGTCATGCCGGGGTCCGGGGTCCCCGGAAACCCCGGGGACTTGGCATTTCCGGCCGCCACTCCTTCCTCCGCGGAACAAAACCGCAATGCGGGGGAAAACGGGAAACGGCCTGGTCGTGGGGGTTCCATGCCTCCTCATGCTTCCACACTCTTCCCCCTTCTTGTCTAGTACGGGCTGGGTTCCCCGGTGTGGGAATCTTGGCCTCGTGGTGACTATCGATGTGAGAGCCCGATGGGGAAAGATGGAGGGTGAAGGATGGCGGTGAGAAGAGTGAGTTGCCGGTCAAAGACCAATGCATGACCCCGGCCCGGAGGCCTTTATCGGTAGTTCTGGCACGGGACCTTCATGAGTCGGCGTTTTTCGGCCATATTTTCTCTCCCTCAAGTTTCGTTGAGTCCCATTTAATCATCCGTGGCTGGGTCGGAAGGTTTGCTTCAAATTTTGACCTAGTATGTACAAAATGTCCATATCTGCTGTTAGAGTAATCTTTGTCACGAACTCGGCGTTTTCAAGCTCGATCAAATGCCCGAAGTTCGTTCATGCCAGAGGTCCGAAGTCTGCCGTAGTGCGGTCGTCTTCGCTCGTCTCACCTCCACGCCGCAGGGGGGCAGCAGGCCACGCGATCCAACCAGGAGCTCGCCGGTCAAAATCCCGCCCCCGTCCGTGGGGGCCAACATTCGCCGGTAATTGAGTCCAAAAGTGAATCCCTAGAAGGGCTTTGAAGGTGTGCGCCTGTCCAACCTCAGTCGTTCGGACAAACAAAGAAGCGGATTTCTTAACTTTCCTCGACAACCCACAGCCGGGGTCAAGAACCGGGAGAAGTACCCCCGAGTTTGGGTTCGGTGCATGAGTAGGTCGTAGCGGAAAGTATTGGGGTAACAGGGAAATTTGGCATGGCGGGTGAAACCCCAAAACGGTGTTCATCTCGCGCTGAACGAAACGCTGGGAGGTAACAACAGGACCGACTGACACCCACTTCGAACATGCTCGGTAATTGATTTGGAACAGCGTTGCAAGAGTGTTCATGGAAGGGTTGAGATGATGGAGGTCGGGAGATGGGGGCAGTCCCTTGACCCGTCCCTCCCGCTCCCCCACGGAAACCGGCGCAGCGATTTGAACGCATCATGGCCAGCGAAATCCGCACGCATGTCCTGTCAACATGATGAAGGGACCCAACTCGAAAGATGACCGGTGAAGGCCATCCACTAGCAGCCATGAATCATGACGGCAGCCCGCTACCGGGAACGACCCGTCATCGGCTCTGCCGTGCTGTTGTCATCCTCACACAAGCGAGAACGAACAACACCTGGACCGGAGTTGCATTAGCAACCTCAATCAGTTGGGCATACGGCTGACAATGTACCGAGATGGCCGTTACCAGGCTCAGCTGCCTCCGTTTTCGCAGAGCAAGGTACCAATGCGGCACGAGTTGCCGCCCAACTTGGAGGGTGACTCGTGGCTCAATCTCCCAAAGGAGGTCTTATCACAGCCCTGCTATAAGCCGGTGAGCCGGCAGCTTGGGCGAGTGCAACCTCATCTGCGAACATGGGGCTTGAGACTGGTAACACGGGCCGCCTTCTCCACAAGAAGGGGGTGGGGTCCCACGCCCACCCGCTCTGCTCTGTTTCGAGGTTGGGAGTGCCCAGAGCGACACGAGCGATCTACAATTTGGCGATTCCGGCCGAAAGATCTCTGATGAGATTCGGCCACCGCCCATAAACCCGCCTATGAATGCCGCACGAAGTGTATACATAGAACTCCCGGCCCGGGGCTTCTGTAGAACTGGGTTTGTCAGCGTGGGAAATCGCAGGGACTTTATTGCCCATTGCTGAAACAAAAGGCTTGGCGGATTGTAGCAAGGGGGTTGGATCGCAACAACACGCTGCATGTCATCTGCTCTGATACCCGAACACCTCCACGTCCCAGAGGCAGACATAATAACTACGCAGTAGTATGGGGCTGATTCCGAGCGTCCGCGATGGTTCGGCCCTAAGAATACCTCGGGAGGAGGGCCGGAACGGCGAGTCTTCCAGACACCGTTGCAAGATGGTTCTGGCCGGGCCGGTACTACCGTGGGATTAGCACACCACCATGACCGAGCACCCCAATCTCAAGAGACGAACCTGGCAGGCCGCCAACCGCCAAATCCGGCAGGATTCGACTTTCGGCCGAGCATGGGCCCTCTCTGAAGTGAGATCGGACACTGCATACCAATAGAATGCAGCCGCCCATCATGTTTCAATATCGATACGACGAAATCAGCAGCGTAAGAGAGGCCGGTTGCCGTGGTACAGTATGCCGCATGTCGCTGCTCGATATCACTAGGTTCGAATCCTGGTTTCAAGGGCCGCGGCATTCTAAGGTTGCAGGCGCTCTTCAGGCGACCCCCTACTGCCGGCACTCAGCTGCGAGGGCCCGTCGTGCGTGGTGCATCTTGCCGTTTTATGTATGGTTTCTGCGAGGGAGCCGTTTGGGAGGAGCCTGTGCGACCACACTAGGGCAAGACACAACCAGGGCCGGGTGTCGGCCGGTAGCATCGAGACATGCCGGTGAAGTGGCTGATGGTTCTCGAGATTTAGGCTGAGAGTGCGCACAGAGGAGCACCATTCGAGGCAATCAATGGGGGACGAATCGTGAGACGCCCCGAAAGGATGACCCGGCACGGTTGAAGAAGCAATCGGCAGGCCACGGGGCAATGATATCCCAATCGCTCCCGAACTCGGTCAGACGGACCGAAGAAGGTGAGGAAGCCGGCAAGTGAAACGCTTCAGGATGCACGAAAGCGGCGAATACCCTGCGACTGATTAGTTACCTTCCACGTCCTGTTTCTGTCAGGGATCTTCGAGATTCCTAGCCGCACCTGGGGAAGATTAATCGACTGCTCCTGACCGACACCGAAAAAGGCGAGCGGCCAGTTGAGCGGCCACTCAATTCCCAAAAGCCAACTGCCGTGCAGCGACTTGTTGTCAGGTGATGAGAGGTAACTGAATGGCAGCATCCCCGTCTCTTCGTCAGGGGCAAGCCCGTTAGGTGGCCGTACTAGGTACATACCTGGAGTACAAAAATACGTATAAAGTATTGCCTGAGATCGAATGTGCGTCGCTGTCAGGGAATGGAATTCTCACGGTTCGTGGGCCGTGGAACGTCCGTGGGAAGCCCAGTTCTCGGTGTGACAGCAGGCGGCAGGCACGATCGATCTCCGATTTGTGACATGTCTCTTTTGACTCTCAATTGGGAAATCGGGGGTCGGCTCGGAACTAGGTTTCTTTTTGAGGCCGTCACGAGCTACCGTAGGAACCGTCACCGCATACCGTAGCACCACCCCACAACGCCCACCGCCTACCTAGTAAGGTAGGCGGTGAAAATAATCGCTCACCGCCTTCGCGATGCGCGCGCAGCGCTCGTCAATTGCCACAGTGCAATCAATCGCAGCGCAATTCAGCGCAAACAGCGATGCTGGCAGCGCTTGCGCGTCGCCCCGCGCGCTCGTATCGCTGTGCGCATCGCTGTGCGCATCGCTGTGCGCGTCGGAGTCGAGCTCTGAAAGCGCCATATCTATCGCTGGTTAGCCCTGTAGAGCGCGCGAAACAGCTGGGGCGCTTACTGAAGGTACGCGCGCAGCGCAGTTGCAATGGCTGTTGGTGTGCGAGGGTTGGTGGTGATGATGATGCGTGCACGCGCGCAGAAAGCTGGAAGTGCGGCAGAATTGCCGAAGGCGGGGCGGCAGAATTGTTGCGCGAGGCCAGGGTTAGGGATTTGTGTGGGCAGAATTTAGGCCTACGGTATGCGGTGACGGTTCCTACGGTAGCTCGTGACGGCCTCTTCTTTTTATCTTTGGCCGTTTAGGAGAAACTGCTTGCATCTGCAACACGACCTTAGAAAAAAATCGACTCGGGCGTAGATACAGCGGAGGTACACAGGAGGTCATTGCCTTGGCTCATTGCGAAGTGAGGAAAGTTAATGGCCTAATTCGACGTCCAATTCGAGGAATGTTCCAGGAACTCGCCCAACTCTCCCCACATCATCACGGCAGCCAATCACCATACAGAATTTCAGCAGATCAACAGCACCGGTCGGAACCCGCCGAAGGAAGCAGAACCAACAACCTACTGCACAGCGACCTGTGTTACTGATGGAAACAGCAGGAGAAGGAACTTATACCTTCTGGTCTGCTAGACCTGGTGGGCGTGAGCAAATTGGACTTTCCTCCGTTTGGGTTTTCCCGTCTCTCCCCGGATCCGCGCAGTCACCTCCACGATTTGCGACGAAAATTGATCTAACTAACTACACAGTACCTAACGCAGAGGTCTGACAGCCCCGCCTCCCCTGACCTCATCCCATCGATCCTACGCCGCACAACAGCATCGTGCCTCGAATGCATCAACTGCATCAAATGCATCTGCCCGAGCACAAGGGGAAGCTAAACCGGAGTTTTCTGTCCCACGCTGGAGGAGTTGCTGCGGCCAAGATGACCAACACAAGCCCACGCCGTGACCCGCTGGAGGAGCCATTAATGAGCATCAACCCCCCTTGCTCCCCCGCCATTATGATTGCCACATCCGCCAAACTCAACGACGCCAGTGGACCGCCTCGCTTTATTTTCTCCCTTGATTCACCTTGTGTGCTAACATTAGCAACCCCCCGACGCAGCCTGCCGAGCTGCCGCTCCAGCACGTCTGATGACTGCGTCCGAAACTCCCCGTAGCGTGGGGTCAAACGCTCCGCAGGAGGGGAACCGTGGAAGAGGTTGCCAAAAAATGATGGAGCAGGCCAATTGTTAATCCAGCACCGCACGACCGATTTTCCGTACCGGCCACGGCGGTCTGAGCAAAAATGCGACCGGCGAATGCCGATAATTTCGAGTTTTGTTGTCCCTCCAAGCCCGACTCGCACCCCTCGATGGGCTCCCGAGGCTTCACCCACGCCGCCATTCTTTGCTAGCCGTGCGAAGACTCAAACCGCCTCCCAGCACAGCCTATCGCCAGTTCTAGAACCGACGACCTCGGTTACCTGCCGATGGCTGCCGCAAAGCATTGCTGCCCTGTGGCCTGCACTGTTTCTATCCGAAACGATCAGTCGCTGCTGCTCTCCATGCGAATCGTCGTTCCATGGACCATGACTCGGGGATGCACGGCATGTCGGGCGCTGTGCTTTCAGAGCGAGAAAGCAATACTTGGGACGCCAATGACATCTGTGAGGTTCCGAGCGGGAGGGGTGGAAATAACCTCCGTACAGTACATGCAGGATGCGGAGGAAGCACGTATGAGTTGACAATGTGGGGGCGGTACTACCTTCCTCTTCTGAGATTGATGAGTTCTCATCACTGGACGTGACGGTATGAGAAGGAGAACACGACCGGCTTTCGGTTTCACGACACTTATCGGTATCTGTTGTTCGGGGCCCGAGATCTCGTGGATGTGTACCGTGCCACGACGGATGGTCAAGAACGACACGCCGCAACCATCGTTGGTCGGAGAATTCCTGGCCTTGTTGATAGCCGAGAACGCCGCATGCGTGGCCGCCCGTCACTCATTGCCCTCCGGCCGAGGACTCAGCGTCGAGAATTAGGGGTCCAACCCCTCTTCGACTTGCCATTGGCTAGACCTCATCACATCAACACCTCAGCATCACTTGCGTTGCAAAGTGTTAGTAGATAAGAGCGAGTGGACAAACTATAAAACAGACCGCAAGATTCTGGAGCACCTCTCGCTTCGGGCTCCAATTATGCCTTTCCTCTTCCCCGGCTAGCTGCGTCGGCTGGATGTTGCCCAACCGCCGCTGCCGGCCGTAATCTGATGTTGCCTGGACCCGAGACTGACGCGGGGAGCGCGCAACCTCCGGGGTTGGACAGTTTTTTTTTTTTTTTTTTCTATCCTCGCGGAACAGTAGTGGTCAGTGGCGCTTCTCGATTCCTCACTTGCTGCCGCAGCTTGTGTCACAACGCTCTACGTTACACCCTTCGGATACCACGTCTGACAGACATCGAGTGTGACCGCCTTCAGCGGCGCCAATCAAGGAAAATTGCCCTGGGACTTCACACTGCCGAACAATGAGAATTTTAGTTAGCGGCACCGTGGGCTGCCTGGTACGCTTGATTCAGCTAAACCACTGCATCCACGCCCGAGTCCAGGTGGTGTGGGGTTGGAGCTAAACAAGCGGAATTATCCACGCTTGCTTTCCGCTCCCGTCGATTAGCCCTTTGCGGGATTGGCGGCAGGGCCGCCCTGTCGAGTTTAGGATTCTTCACCCAAGACTCAACTCGACAAACACTTTGCCTGCCCGAGGAACACGACGACGGGCACCGGGCTCATCACCTGTCATTTCCAGTCCGGCGGGGCTATCGGCTGACCTCTTTGGGAACGTCCAGGGTGATGGGAGGGGTTTGTCGTGTTGACCCCTGCCGGTGATCGGTCGCGACCCAAGAGCCAGACGGACGCCCACATCACAGCAGCTGGGCTTGGCAAGTCTTCGGCATTGGCGAAGGGGCCAGGCACGCGCGGAGTTAGGGAAAGGAAAGTTGCGATGAAACGGAGTCCGCGGTGCAAGTTAGTGTGATTGTTGCTTCTTATCCCAAATCTCCCCGTCGTCAATGCCGAGGTATTCTTACCCCCCCCCCCTTGGTCAGTTGACCCCCAAACGAAAAGCAAAAGAGATGTGGCAAGCTCGCAAGCTACTCCATCCAACAAGCAACCCGCCGAGTCACCGAGCCTACCCTGGCTCAAGCCTGGCTGGCATGCCTGGGGCGCCCAAGAGGCGCCATCCTTCTTCCACCAAGTTTGACAATTCCGCTGAGTTTCCCCCGCTGCCCAATAGGAGGTGGGCGATGCCCTGTTGTGGTTGATGATCATGATGGCAGAATGACATCTTGGCCTCGCACCCCAGAGCGAACGTCACACACACACACTACCCCCCGATGGATGACGCTTCGATTTCACGCAAGGCACAAACCAGTCGGATAGTTTCAGCTATTCGCTTTCTCATTCAAGTCTAGGTAGGTGGGCGGTAAAAGCAACGGTATCAACCCTAATGCCATTGTTCCGGCCCCGTCCCATCCCCAATCCCTCCGCATCAGGGAGTCCTGTCAGTTGTGGTATCCGAAACCCAATCAAAATCCCAAGTCCTGTATGGTATAACACCAGCACCGCAAAAGGCATCCGGGGATTGTCCCAATCCCAAAAAGACAAAAACAAACCAGGGTTTTCCATCCCAGACGGTATCAAAGCAATTCAGAGAAGACCACACAAAAAAAGCAACAAACAGATGCAAACGTTGGAAAAGGCCCGAAAAGTCAAAAACGCCAATGTGTCGCCCCGCGCTCCCAATAATCCCTCGCTCATTAAACCAAAATAAAAAAAAAAAGCCAACAATGGGTTTGTCGCGAAGAATTGAGGGTGTTGTGACATGGTGGTACAGAGCCGAGGCTTCGGGAAGCCTAATGAGGGAATCGCGGGGTGTGTGTGGTCCCGAGCGAGGGGATTCAAAGTTTGTCTTGTCGGGCCTGGGGGCCTGCCGGGGAGTCTTCTCCAGATCTCGATGATGAATCGATCACATGTGCGGCGCGGCAGTGCGCCCGCTGGATTGGTGTGCGCCCCGTCAGTGTCGGCTCCGTGTTGTGGGTGGGATTCGGCCATCAGTCAAGGCGCAATGTGATGCCGTGACCTTGGCTCCCGCCTAAAGCTTCGGGTCAGAGAAGCCGGGTTGTGTTGGTCCTCGCCGGGTGTCCGCGGCCCGCTCCATGTCTCCCCTTTCCTTCGCTCATTGTGTCGCCCGTGACGCACTGCGGCGGACAGAAACCCCTCCCCTCCCCCGCTACTCTCCAATGTGGAATTGGAGATCTAGTAGGTCGGCTGCTTGGGGCGCTTGATGAGGTTCTCCCATGGCGGGTACTCCTTCGGCTTGCACTCGCCTAGGGTAAGACGTCAGTTTTCTGTTTCTCGGTTGATGGGTGAGGGACGGGTGAGGCGTACCGCATAGCTCCTCGGCCCGGTACTCGAAGTGTGTGACGTTGGGCTGACACCTCTTGTGGGTGATGGTGTAGTCGCGGCACCACTTGGAGGCGATCCACCGGAAGTGGCCGCATGAGTACTCTCTTTGGGTATAGTCGCACATGGTTGCTTGTGGTTGTGGAAGAAGGACAGGTCCGGGTTTGGTCGAGCGACTGGGCCGGTGGGTTGCTCCGGGAGGTGGGGTGGTGCTGGGCAGTTGAGCAGACCGAGGGACAATGTCCTGGTACGATCTGCAGTGGCAGATGGAGTGGTGACGTGAATTGGTGTTGGTAAGTTGGTCTGGATGTGGAATCGTCAAGGTGAGTGGGGATGATGAGCAGGTCAAAGAAGAAGAGGAGCCGGTGGAGGGTGGGAAGCGAGGTTTATTTAAGTCCCGGCATCGTGGGAGGTCCAGACGCCGGGCCAAGAACAGGTGGAGGAAGCTGTCGCTCGACAGACAAGCACGACCAGGAACCCATGTTTGGACTTCATGCAACCTCCTTGGTGGGAGTTGTGGACTGGACTGCGGTAGGGGTCGGGAAATACATGCTTGGGAACTCCCAGCACGAGGTACCGACAGGGATAAGTTAGAGTGGGGGTGGGTGTCAACCGGGCCGAGGGGGTGGGAGGTAGCGAGCAAGGATTGTGGAAGGTGGAAGGAAGTGTTCCAGACATTGGTGTCTCTGCGTCTGTCTGTGCTGTGTGTCTATTGGAACGGGTGGTTGCCTATGCGGTTAGCCCTCCAGTCTCATCCCAATGATTCATCAAAGCGCATCTCGTACCGCGCCTGGAGCGAAGCAGTGCCCAAAGGACAGAAGAGCAGACTGAACCCCCTTCACGAGTTCTCGGCCGTTTGGGCCTCAATTGTGTCTCAGCACCCGTTCGAACCGGGCACCGTCCATACTGCCCGTACTGTCCGTCGTGTCTCACTCACTTTCGCTGCTCTGTCACCAAATCCCCCCCAAACCAACCAAAACGGGCAGCTGGTTGCTTGTCTCGACTCTTGTTGACCTAGAAAAGGCCTAGCGCTGTACCAGTACACATCAGACAGCGCACGTCAGCCCAAAAGAGCAGAAGCAGAAGCAGAAGCGAAGGAAGTGCCGTGGTCGAGGCTTGCATTTGCCGTCTCGCCAACCATGCATGACAAGCAGGCTGGCAGAACATGCGACAGTACATCCAGAGTACAGATGGACATTAGTTCCAGGACTCGATGAGAGCCATTGGTGCCGGTGAGCAAGCCACCAACAAACTGCGGTGGTAGGCAAAACGGAGCGCCCAAACGGTGGTGAGCCCCTGCGGCTCGAGCTGAGGTACCCACTACTGTTTAGGGTGGTACCGTCTGTCATTCATTTTTTGGGCCCAGGTAGGCAAGGTCGGTTTATGATCTCGAGGGCCCAGCCCAAGCAAGCACGAGGTAGTTGATTTTTCGAGAACACAATGATGGATGTTGATGTTGGCTCGGGTCGCCGTGCTCCGTGCTCCTCGCGATAGTTCGAGGTCCTGAACCCACTATTTCTAATCTCTAATTCTTCGGCGATGCCTGACGCGCAGCCTCCTAGCCCCCCTCCCGATTACCCCAGGAGCTCGGGCGCGGTCGCACCAGCGCGTGGAATCCAGCTAGAAATAGGCCTGGCAGGCCTGGGCGATGCGATGCGATGTGGGATCTGGGCGCACCGAGGGAAGCACGTGTCGATTGCCTATGGCCACGAACACTAACTAGGGGGCAATTTGAGTTCAATCCCAGACGTGGGTGGGTTGGCTAAGGAGCCTGCTCCGTCGGTCCTTCGGCGCGCTCGGTGGAAACACCAAAGCCATCTTGCGAGGGGCGGTTTTACCAGGCAGTGCGCATCGTACCTGAAGAGAAAGACGGCACTATCACCAAAAAGGTGAGATTCCGGGCTGCAAGACCGTTGATGCCACCCCTCAGACCCGCACCGGTGAACGAAGTGTTGCATTGCCCATCCTCCGCTTGATGTGCCTCCACATGCAGCGAGACCGCTGCTGCACATCCCGAAGTGGGTTGCAGTGGGCATGCATGTGTTTTTCCTGGGTCCCTTGTCATCCCATGTCAACCCAATTCTCTTCTGCTGGCTTCGATCATGACTCGCTGAGGGATCCAGCACGAATCGGCGCACACAAGCTTTGTCCGGCGACCTTGGATCTGCCGTTCGCTCGACAGCACATGAACCGCTCGTTTACACCAAAGCGGGCGTTCGAATCCCCGCTAACCAGGAACCAGTTACCGACACCACACTGCACTACAAATGGGTTTGTTATTAGCATGTCGAAGAAAGAGTGGATTTTGATGACTGATGCCGAGAGATGTACATTAGGTTTCCCCCGCGACGAGAGAAAATTCTTCTCCTTACCGGGCCGAGTCCACGGCCCTCTCTGTCGAAAAAGGCGCAAATTCCACAAATTCCACAAAACCTAGTGATAAAACGCGGCTGGACGCGGAGCAGGAGACTGCGGCATTCGAATCCTGCCGGAGAAGCGAATGTCGATGTGGAGTCTCCGAGCGGGTCGGCAACGCTGGTGTGGGTTTGGTGGGACGCCAGATCTGGACGCTGTTCCCGTTTGGGGAACTTCGAACACGTGGAAATTTGCCTCCATCAGCGAGTTCCTTCCAAGCATTCACCCGGCACACCAAATCAGGAGATTGCGGTTTCCACTTTCGAAGCAGCGCCGAAGCTTCCAAAAGTGGCACGTCCACTTCCATCCGCATCCATCCACATGGCGGGGATTTTTCATTCGAGTTTTCAATTGGTATTCTTGGGATGGCCATTGGCTTTTTTGAACACTCACTAACTACTTGTAACTAGCTCGTTAGAGTTCTGTCGCTTCGGCCCTTTGCCCCTCTTCTTCTGATAAAGTGTTTCAGGAGAATAGAAGCAACTTGACAACCGACCTGCTGCAGCACCGCAACCACACACTATTTTCACCCATCAGGCAACAAGAAAATCCAGCATCCAGGGGTTTTTCTTGCCCGACAACCCAACTTTCCTCCGGAACTCGGGATTGATTTTTTTCCTTGAGCTACTTACCCGTACTGCGATTCCCATCGTTGACACCCGGCCGTGGCGCCCTCCCTTCAGATACCCCAAGAGCTAGATCATTAGCCTCCTGCAAGCACAAGGGAATTGCGGGTGGTATCTTTCTGGTTCGCGCCGTCGAGACCTTTGGTGGCTTTCGCAAAACATGGTCTCGATCCTTGAAGATCGTTCCCCGGGCTTCCTCCTCTAGTTTCAAAGTCCATCGGCCCGCCCGCCGACCCTGAGACAATCCGGATAACGAAGACCCAAAGCGGGTGCGTAATGCCTCGCGTGGTTGGCGGCAGGGGCATCACGCTAGTTATCTCGAACGGACCCTGAAGGGTCATCAACCCCCTCCCGGGGTGCCAACGACCCCGAGTGTCCCGGCCGGCAACCGCTACGGCATTTACTGGCTATACCCATTGTCGCTCCTCAGTTCGAGTCGGTTGTGACAGCTGTCGGACCAACCCATCACCAAGCCAGACGTTCCCGTATGTGTAGTTCACCAGGAAGAAGCATGTTGACGGCGGGCGGAGAGACCCATCCCCCGGCTGCTGGGAATCAGCCCGGGGCTCACTCGGGCCCGAAACGAACCCCTAACCTTGCGTTAACGCCACCGAAGTGCGCGCGAAAGAAATCATCCATCTGTCGGTACCCTCTCGTGTCCGTAGCTCCTAGCAAGGCCAATGAAGGGTGCGGGGATGGCCGAACATCACCACGCAGACCCCTCCGGTAATGGCAAAGTTGCCAAGATGCCCCGGCCTGCGAGCTGAGGCGAGAGATCAGCGGGGATCCCACGATGCCTGTTCCGTCCTGGCGGGACCGCCACTCGGGGACGCGAACGTGAAGAGGAGAACTGCACGGCATGGTTAGCGCTTTACGGCAAACCCGGGGTCTGCAATAAGAGCCATGTTCCTAGCGATGGTGGGATCAATCGCCTGCGTCAATTGGGATGAAGTCGTGAAGGAGAATGCCGGTGGCTGTTTCCGGGCTAATGGCTGCAGGCGCCCAACTGAACGGGTGCCCAATCGCGGCCGATCCAGCTAAGAATCCCCCGGACGCCGCCACCATGGGCTAGCGCGGCAGGCTGCGCCGACATCATGGTCATTCATTCCCCTCTCCTCTGGCCAGAACGGATGCAAATGAGGCCTGGGATTCTGAAAGCGCCTTCCAGTTTCCCCTGTCCTCTCTTTCCTCTTTGCCTTGCTCGCATGAAAGCCAATCCCAAACCGCTCAACTACGTCCTCAAACTACCCTACAGCCGCAAGGTGACGGCCGGGGCTAAGGGCCCAGAGACACGGGCATAGGCTTGGAGTTACCGCCCTGCAAGAACGGGCCGTCGATCATCGCACCACGCAGGCGCGCGGAGCAGTATCCGGTGCAAAAGCAACTGACAACCACGCGACGGTCATGCTGACTGGAGGCACAATTTCGGCGGGCCGACATTTGTACAGATGTACGAAGTACCTCAGATACTGTGGTAGGGTGCGTCTCGAGGTACTTCGTGCGAAGTACCCCAACACACCGCATCTCACCCTCGCAGCGGCGAAGTCCAAAGCCCACTTGGTCTAGCCAGCCAGAAACGGTCGCGGGTTGAAGCGACGGTTCGACATCTGCCCCAGATAGTTAGCAACCCCATAGTGGGTACTGGAGTTAACCAGCCAATGGCGGCCTCCTCTTAATCCCTGCCGGAGCTGGCTCCGTCGCGTTCCCTTGCCGAAACACAGGGGTTCAGTCAAACCATCCACCTTGCCAGGCAAGTGGGTGACAAAATAATCGAGCCACACAGACCACTCCTACAGAAAATTCATCTCCACCAAACCAGCAGTATCTTGAACATCACAGTCATTTGTAGTCCCAATTCTATCTAATTGCCGCTCATTTTGCCATCAAGATCTAATGTTTGCTGTAGGATTTTACAGTACCTTTTTTTATTTACATCGTGATTGACGACGTAATCGCGACCAAAAACAAGGCATCTACCCCTGAAGGTTGGTGTTAATCCTGCTGCAAATATTTTGTAGAAGAGCGGACCGCTAACCGCATTTAGTATGAAATGACCGGGTTCTGTGGCTCGATTATTTTGTCACCCACTTTGCCAGGCTCAGCCAGCCTAGGACGGAGCAGAGGAGAAGAGCCAACAGCACCAGACGGGCAGATATTGGCGATACGAAGGACGGAGTTGGAAAACTATCTGACTTTCACCATTTCTGTCAATTCTTTTCGGGTCATTCGAGCATCGATCACATATCATCGGCGGAAGGACCCGTGAATTGGGGACTTGGTTCCCATTTTGGGGCATTTTTCCCTCTTAAAATCGACAGAAATTAGGGCCTGTCGGCGGTTTACTGCCTGTTTTGGAATTTGGTCAGCTTCGAGAGGGGCAAAATGTTCCTCTCTCAGGATTGTGTGGGTTCTGCGGAAACCAATGGTGTGGTTTCAGGGGCTCGACACGTGAAGATCTGCAATGGGGGATTTGCCATGAGAGCCAAGCGCTTCTGGCCGAGTCGGTCTTCCACTTGAGTGCATTTTGGGAAGGTCGGAGAATATTTTGGCAAGAAGTGAGGCGAGACAATGTTGATGCCTATCGTTCAGGTTTGAGCTCGTTGACTTGTTGCTTGTCTCCTTGTCTACACTACTGCACGAGCTGCATATTGAGTTTTCTTTTCCATGACCAGTCCTCAGCAGCTAGCCCAGAGGGGCTGCAAGACTCGCTGGGGCGCAGATAACTAATGTACATGCCATACTTACGCACACAGCAGTTGTTGAGTTCGGCGATGCCAATGTTGGTCTTGCGTTGGCAAAGGTAAAAAGAGTGTAGGTATTCCCCTCGGACTTGATGTAACGTATGCACTTTGGGTCGAGCAACGGTCAGATCCATCGGGTCGCAAACCAAGCTCACAGAGGCAGGACGGAGATTGGGTCCATCAAGGACCCAAACCAATACCGAATGAAATCCACCGACTGCCACCCAAGGAATCCCAGCTTAATCTTTCCCAGTCGAACTGTAACTAACTAGCCCCGCCATTAGTTGACGTGACGGCAGTCACCGAACGGCGTGTTTAGTGCCGAGTTAGCACAAAGTTCAACGTTTGTCTAATGTCAGAGATTGTTTGTTGACGAATCAATCTTGCACTCATTGAAGCCGGCAACGTTAGCTTCTTGAACATCGCCGCGAGCTTACCTGCGCGTCAAGTGGGCTGGCGCAATATACGAGTCAGAATCGACAACAACGTTGCCGTAAAAGGTTTCCCCCACGAGGATCGTGTTTCACGAGCTCCCGATACTACGGTTGCGGTCCCGCCGCTCTGGTTCGCATCCATCAGTCGCCTATCCGCTCGCCTCCGCCTGCGGCTCCGCGTCGCTTTCCCCCTCGCAACTTAATCCTCGCATTCCAGCCGAGCTATCGGGCTGGGCCCATTTCTTTCAACGGTTGCCTTCGCTCCATGCCGCCGGGATGCCGTCGTTGCCACGATGGTGGAGCCTCCACCACCAGGGACACTGGTGCTCATTGCTCTCGTGGGTTAGCACGTGGCTCGTTACTGCGCGTCTCTCCTTTCCCCTCAGTACTCAACGACCAGATGACTTGGTCTGGTGAACTGCCCCTTGTCAATGCGTCCGTCTTGCCGGGGGGGGAGGGGTCAAACCCCCGGCGAGCCATCATCACATCTCCGTTGCCTCACCGGAACGACATCATGAACATGGCGAATTCCTGACAGCAATCCAGAATGGCAACCGCTCCCCCTCCAACGCCCCCCCCGCGCCAGCATCCCGAACCGGTAGTTGCATGGCGTCGGCGTTGATCGGCCCTAGGGTCAAGGTGGTATCCCCGCTTTATCCGGCGGCAAAGTCAAGGCCGGGTAAATGTGATCCCCGAAGTTACTCGCTGTTTCGCTGGCCTGCCACTGCCTGCCCGCTGGGCGAAACGGCCACGGCCGCCAAAGTCCCCCATGAGCTCGTTGTCCCCGATTGCTCGGCCCTGGACCAAGATGGAAAGAGGATGTGTGCCCAAAAAGGGCCAGAATTCTCCGAGTCGGTGGTCCCCCACCCCTTGGCAGTGAGCGAAAGCCTGGTCGCTGGGCTTCACCGGTTTCAGTGCGCACTGATCCTTCTCCTCGAAGGCGGTCAGCCAGGGGTAGAAGGTCGCATCTCGAGCTCACCGGTGGCCAGTAGCCTCTGTCGCTTAGGCATCCCGGTGTGTTTGCATGATCCTATCATGATAAAATCCGAGGGCACATGTTCAAAGCTCTCGTTGACATTATGCTCGTCCAGTTAAAACCCCGTTGTTGTTTGTGGTCTTGCATGGAAGTCCGACACTTGGGCAGAGTTCGCAGCAAAGACTGGTAGAGGCGCTTGAGGAGAAATAGCGGCTTGGAAGGGGTGAATGAAGGGAAGAAGGCGGAAAGCGTCGGATGTCGTCAATCTCCAAGTCGGCGTTGTTCCCTTAAGTACTGATCATTCCATGCTCAGAAAGAACTGGCCTCGAGGCATCCCCAAGTTTTTATTTTAGTCATGGCTTTATCTCATTAACAATCCATTCTAATGGTGAAAAGCGGGTGGCTCTACAAATCGACTAGTTATAACGTTCAAGAACGATTCAGAAGTGTTCCAACATGACCTGAATAATATGACGATTCTGAATCTGTACTGCCGGTAGAATTCCTTTGCTCGTACCAGAGGAAGATCCCCATGCTTGTTAAACCCTTACATCAACAAAGGGGCCAAGTGCTGAGAAGCACGGCTGCAAGCAGCAACAAGTCTCGAAATACCAAGTGGGACCTGTAAGTGCTGGCCTGCAACAGCTCGAAGGTGATTTTGAGCTGTAATGCGCAACCGCTCGGTCCGAACTCTCGACTACTAGATGCATGACATGTCAACCTTCTGTAGATTGCTTCTAGTACATCCTGGACTTATACCCGAGCACCACGTTGCCGCCATATTTCAAATTCCCATAAAGCATGCAAAGCGCATGCAAAGCGCACCGTGGTATACCTAACGAACTTAGGAGGGCATTAACTATGGTCAGTATCGCCAGCTCTGTTGAAGTCTACAAAGATGCATTTTAACAAGCTGACCTCGAGAGAAGTGAGCGGCGACGCTACAACTATCATACTAAAAATTGAAACGTGGATGTATTTGGCAGTGGCCCGGTTTATACAGTGTATGGATGAGATGGTTCTTACGTCGTCAATTGTTGTTAGGTAGTCTGAGGCTCATTTTAGGAACATGGAGAACAGGAGTACCCGCCCAATCGCGTCATATATATGCTGTTTACAGCCGTCGGTGCGGAGAGTGTTAGGCTAGGTAAGTTATCGACTAATCGTAGATGATTAATTACTCGGCGCCCCTATCTCTTATAGCATCCGTGATACTCTTGCTATTGTCGCAGTTCAAACTCGCTCCAGCCGCTGGGCACTCAAGGAGGTCAAAAGGAGCAGGGGGCAAAAGAAACCACCCAATTTGAAGGCACTAAAGGGAAGTAGAGAGCTAGTAATATGAACTCTGATGTCAAACACTCTAGTGACTTGTTTCGGCCGTTCTTCCATGTTTACCTTCGTTGCCCGCGCCGCCTTAATTTAAAGCACATATCCCTCCTCAACCTTGAACCTGGACCCGCACAACCTTGCCATACGAGTGTACGACTTGGAGTGGGGATGCTTCCTGGGTACATACTATAAAATGGAAGGTGGAAATGGTGGGGACGATGAAGTTAGGCCCAATGTCAGCGAGACTTTTAGTGGAAGGTTGGTAGAGTGGGTTGTCCATAATTAAGGGAAGCTACGGAACTGTTGGGGTTGGGTCGTACTGGTAAGAAAGGGGCCACGAGAAGGAGGAAGAGGATTCGAAAGTTGGTGAGAGCACGACCGCTGCTGCATATTATTTAGAATTCCAACATGGTCTCTCGTCGAGCTCGAATTTCCAAAGTGAGCGGTAGTTAATCCACACCACGTAATACTCCGTCCCGGTCCCTCACGCGGAGTTTTGGCGCTTCGGACACCTGGGTCTTCCGTAGCTGGCGCCATGTCTCGGATATGTCGACAGGAGCAAGAGGGTGAGGGTGACTTTGAAGACAACAGCAAAGGCATGCGGATCTCGGACCTTGTTGGCGTGAGACCCTTCTCGAAACCTTCTAACGTCCACATATGCCGTCGAGTCACACATGATTATCGTCTTGTAGAATGTCGCCAGAGCCTTAGTCTGTTAGATGATTGTTGTCTCAAGCGAAACGAAATGCCTCGGATATGCGGAATTATTCAGGGGTTGCAAAGCAAGCGTGTGACGGGATGATCGACAATACCATTAGACGGCGTGGCCATGATTGGTCTTGCCCGAGTGATACAGGACGCCACGGCGGTTTGAGGATGTTCGCGAGCTTCTAGAATTTTGCCCGATGCAGACATTCACACATGATGCAGGAGGTAGGAAAGGGGGGAGTCCGCGGGGAGAAAGGGGAGAGAGCTGCCTTGGTGTGCTCGGCGGTCCTGGCATGCCTTCCATTACTCACAGGGAATAAATGAGTGTCCTCTCTCACCGATGTCCTCGTCTCCCAATCACACAAGTCACCTGCAATTTGCAACTGCATTGCCATGCTCTGGTTGGTGGGTTCGAGTACTTGGCGGTTAACGGGCCAATCTGGGGGTGGCTTGTTCGTGGCAAGTCGGCCGCCAACACCACCAACACCACCATCACCACTGCCGAGTGACTGTTCAATGTTCACAGCCCGGATGCCGTCTCTTTTCCTGTGGTTTTTGGGCACGGCTCGAACAAAGGTTGAAAAACTTTTTTTTGTTTTTGATATAGGAGGGAGCTCATCCAACTGATTTCTGTCTCGCAAAGGTGAGATACACAGCCACGTCGTCTGCGGCCGAAACAGAGGCCCGGTGGATGCCCCCGGGCTTAGACAACTCAAAATCTCCAACACAAAAAGAGGAGAAGCGGAGATTGAACACATTGAGGGTGGCACCGTCGTGGCTTGGAAGCGAGCCGGACACAGCCCGGCTACCCGAGTCAAGCGATTTCGAGATGCAAGAAAGCTAGCAGGGTTCACAGTGCGTTGGGCCGACCACAAGACCCCGGGCAGAATTCAAAGGAGGCCCTCCAGTTTGATCCGGAGAGAATGATCATGGCGCACGCATCGGAGGCCGACGCTGAGGTTTAGGTCACCATAGGGACCAGGTGCATCGGTCAACTCCGAAGCACGGGCGAGTTGAGAACTGAATTCAATAACTTATGTGCTTGAGCAAGCCATGTTTGATATGCGGCTCCCGCATCGGACGGACGCAGCATGGTGGCGTTGAGTCATGCATGGTTCAAGCGGGTTTCACAAGACACTGCCAAATCTTGTAACTTGGCAGAGAGCGGCACCCGCGTCTTGACTGCCCCTTGTGTTACCTATATTGTAGGGACATCTTGTCACATGGCCACAGACTGTAGGGCTGAACATGGGACGATCGACGGCAGGGTTCGTGGCAGACCAGGGACGGTGAACCATTGGCCAATTCCTGTCCGTTGTGTCCGAGGCACCTCGACAAGGCGGTGCGCACCTGGAGAACCGCAGCACTGTGTGGATGGGTGCCTCAAGCTCAAGGCGGCAGTCACAGGCGGCCGACAGAGAGAGTCATGAAGAAAAGGGGCTGCAAGCCATAGGGTGAGAGAGATATGAGGTTGATATTGCCCGAGGGAGACCGGCCTGCCAATCATCGAGTGTATCGGCCCTGTGTCACCTCTCTCCCTTTTCTTGACGACCTTGTAGCCTGATGGTAGCAAAGTAAAAGATCGGGAACCTGCCAATCACAGCTCTCGGCGCTTAATTTACCGCAGCCTTTCCACCTAACAGTTCGCCTAAGTATGTGCATGTACATGTAAGGGTGATCATCTGGCTGTCCAATCGGCGCGGGTTGCATGCTACCTGGCCCAAACCAACAAGAACAAATCTGTAAATCGATCCTTGGCGAAGACATCCAAGCTTTTTGCTCCTTCGTCCCAACGCCGCTCCGCCGCCCCCTGCTCCCGCCGCAGGAGGGCGGGACTCGCATCTTTATTTCCGTAACACAAAGCGGACCCCACCCTCCCCCCCTTAGACATGCTTGTGACTTGGGACGGTGTCTGTGGGATGTTGTTGTAAGTCGTACAGTGCACAGTGCCATATCGTCTCTAGCTTGACGGGTTAATGAGGCGGAATCCCCCCTTCAACCCCGGCCCCCCTCCCCTCCCCTCCCCTGTCACCCCGACCCAACAGTTTGGATTCCGGGCATTGCTGAACACCCGACCTCGCAGGCGACCACCCGCAACTTGGAAAAGTGACCTGTTGGTTCAGTGCCTCGCCTCAATTCTCTCGGTATGTTGACCAGTGTCATCGACGAGAGTGTTCGCCTTCCTTGCCAGCCAAGGCACCCTACTTCTCCTCCATCCCTGACTCAGAGGCATCTTTATCACGAAGATGTTTGTCTATAAAGAATCTCTACCCTCAACCCAATATCCCTTCTTCCATTACACAACATCACAACAACCTCTCCATATCAGTCTGCTGACTCAGAGCCTGGTACACCCTCATCTACACGACTTGCTTCCTCAAGGGACCCGGCTGTATATACTTTGCAAACTCAGCATCCGACCTCGCCTCTCGCATCCACCTTGGGTTTTCTTCTTTAGGGGACCAGCAAGATCCTCTAGTCGGAGCAACCTACCTATTCACCATGTGTACCTGGGAGCTAGTCAAGTTCTCGGACTGCCGCCACAGCGAGCTGCAAAAGATGGCCTACTCGTGTGATGTCTATCGGCGCCACGTCTACGGGTCCTGTGTCTATGACGAGCGCTACGACCGCGACCGTGTCTGCAAGGTCTTCAGTGACGGCCTCTGCAGCAGGTGTTCAGAGCTGTTCAAGTACATAAACTACGACTAGAGTGCCTACGCTTGTCACAACGATTCAACCTGACCACCGCAAGCCATCGGCTGCTTCGATAACCTACGACTTGTACAAATAACTTTCCGGTACGAGTCCGTTGCTACTACCCCACATTCCCGACACCCTTTGCTGATTGCCCGATCGCAGCGTACCGGCTTCTATCACCAATGTATCACCACCAGTGCGACGCTTCGAGCGAGTTTTATTCGGGGGAATTTGATATTTTCTGGCCTGTTATGGGCGGAGTATATTCAGGGACATTCTTTTCAGAGGGATTGGGTAGACTTCTTAGCATCACTGCATAGACGAGAGACGGCGCGCCTGACATTCATTGTACATGATTCTCATATTTTCTTCTTGTTACCTAGATCAATAGATAGAGAGAGCTTCGTTTTCATTTCAGACACTTCCATCATTTTCCGCTAACCCCCTGCCGGCCCCATCGATCATTGCGCCTCACATCCGAAATCTCTTTCTCCAGTCCGAGAAATGACGCGTCTTTCCGTCTGATCCTCCCGCTGGCTCCGCCGCCCAGGGCGTTGCAGGTCAACATCTCAGCCAGGACCAATAAGCTTTGCGGCGTCGAGCCGCAAACGAGCATCCGCCCCATCCGGGAGATGTGGGTCCCGCCGCTCCGGATTCCGGGGCCGGGCCGGAGGGTCTCCGGGGCTTACTCGGCGCTTACTTTCAGCGGAAATCAACCTGGTAATTGTAAAACTGTTCGCTCAATTTGAAAGGTATATTAAGCGGGATTGCAGGAGAGAGAGAGGAGCATCATCACCCGTTTCTGAGTTGGTGATGGGACATTTTGGTGTTAAGTTACAGCGACTTGCCGAATTAGGAAATACCACCAATCAGATTATTGGCCCCCAGAAGCACCCGCCACACAACGGGGGGGTGCCGAAACGCACGCAGAACTACCGTGCCACGCCCCGGCGGCCGGTTCGCGAGCCTCACTTTTCGTATGCACTGTGAACCCTGCGGGCCCCGCGTGTGTTTGTCTTGTACACTACCCAATCGCGCTTGACCGTAGCGCTCAATTCTAAGCGCCGAAGCCGAGCTGATCACCGTTAGCTACAGACGAGAGATATCAACGGAAGCGAGGCAGATAGAGACAGCTGCGTCTTTTTTTTAATATGGGAATAACCAGAACGATGTGATGCAGATATAAATGCAGCAACAATAGCAATAACAGGAACAACAACACACGAAACGAACCCCAGCAAGACAGCCCCCCGTTTGCACCACGCGACGAAGGGGGTCCATCAAACCACGGGGCATGCACGGAAAACCATAGGGCTGAGCCGGCTGAGCAGCAGCTCGAACCAAAAACAGCAACTCCAGCTTGGTTGGGGCTGAGCTGACCCGCAGCCACAACAGCAACAACCCAACCACCACAGCACCAAAACTCCCCACCAAAAAATAACACGCACAGCACCACCATTGTTTCACCACCACCAACCCCAATTTAGCACACATTCTTTCCATCCCATGCCACCCGGCCCGCCCCCACGACCACCACCACCACCGTACGGACTCTGAAACCCGAACACTGTCGGGCATGCGAGATGGCCCCCGCGATGCGAATGGAGGACCACCCCCCCGGCCTACGCGGCCCTCGCCTCCGGGGGGCCGTGGCACGGGCAGACACAGACACAGACACAGACACGGACACGGACACGGACACGGACACGGACATGCGGCGCGGCAGGGTGTGAGTATACTAGGTAGGTAGGTAGGGTGGTTGGGATGGCGATCAAACCTATTAGGTAGGTACCTTGGGTAGTGTGGGATGTTTACATGTATTGACACTGCCCGAGGGTGAGGGTGGGGAGGGGCCGGCTTGTTTTTTGGTGCGAGGTGGAAGGCGGTGTTGGGACGGATGGCCCATGGGCCATGCATGGGTCGGTTGCATGATGTGGTTGGTGATGTGGTGGTTGGGGTTCGGTGGAGCGTAGGAGGTAGTGTGCTTACTCGTGCTGCTGATGCGATGAGTGTGCTTGTGGCCCGTGGGAGGGGGTATGTGTGGTGTGGTCTATGATTTGGGTCCGTGTTGTTGCTCGTCTCGTTATTCCTCTTATCCTTTTTCTTTTACTTCATCAAAAAGAAGGGAGGTGCGGCTTGAGTCGTTACCGAGGGGGGGAGGGGGGGGGGGGTCCAATTCCCGAGGAAAAGGGGATAAAAAGGGGCGGTTATGGTGGTTCCTTGGTAGACTGGTGGGACCGATGCAAGGCTCGTTGGGCGCGTTTGATTAATTACATGTCTGTGTAAGCGCGTACTACCCAGGCTCTTTGCGCGAAGGGTGTCGGGGAATGTTGTGAAGGGTAGCTCGGAGAGGAGGAGTGACGCGCAATGCAGCCTTGTTGTCAAGGGGCGAGCCTCGCGACGGGAGCGAAAAATCTAACCGACATCGACATACCCTAATGACAACCTCAGCATCGAACATGATGCCATGAGGTGTGTGTACAAGGGGCAATCTAAGACTTGTCCTCTACTGGTATCCATTCCCCGCGCCCACTTTGGGACCCTTTTGATTACTACCGTTCTTTTTGTTTTCGTGTACCCTGTGTCTCTTCTTCCCTTCCGTACTTGCTCCGGGCTACCCCTTATCATCGCCTCTTAGTTCTACATCCACCAACTTTTCCGTTTCTCCTCGGGGGCTCTAAGGGCTTCCCGAGCTGTCTACCTGATCAAAGGAATAATGCCGCTTAGGGCGTAGTTGAAGAAGTTGCTGGATGGGGTGTTCTGCCAGAACAACCTACGTAAGTGCTTAGATACTTACTCAGATACCTAGTCAGGGACGCAGCCTTGAGATGCCAGCGCTAGCCATTATACTTCCTTGTGTTGAAACCCCGTACCTAGTACACCATATCGGCTTGGCTATGCCCCCGCTGTTTCGATTGTTTTGTAGATGCTCCTGAGACAATGGTCTGGTAGACCTCAAACATTGCCGCTGCCAGATAGCTTGTTCTGTTGTTATCCCTAGGTCCGATTTAGGTTTCAACCCATGTAGTGTCCAGGCGAGCAAGTTCATCCGCAGACTTGAAAGCCGCCGCATTTGAAAAGTTTTATCGACCTTATATGCCCATCATGGATCCGAACCACGAGCGGCTCAGCTTCAACTTTGTAGGATTTTCCTCCTCACATACCTCGAGAACACCTCGCCAGCACGCTCTTTCTTCGATATCACCTTATTCACACACGCCCTGGAGCTCCACAGCGCAGGTCAGCACGATGGGAATGCTGCAGCTGTCATGATTATGTACTACAAATACATATATTCTCTCCATCTTGCAAGGAAACCATAGCTTTCCCCCTGTCCGAGAGGAAGAAAACTCTGGTCCTTCACCTTTGTAAATCCCTGTTCCTATAACTAACTATGCTAAATATATTTCCGCGCTAGCTAAAGAGAGTTGGCGAGACTCCAGGAGATCGACGAACTGGGGGTTCAATGACCCACTCTTGTACAAGCAAGTACGGACAGACGATAACAACTTGTAGATGAGACAGCGAAAACCGTTGACAGCGAAATGGGCCCGGGTATTTAGACGCAAGATGACACAAGGGGGCGGCTGCCACTGGGTAGTCCGCACTTGCTTACAGCTCATGTCACGGATGTGGGCGGAAGGGGATAGGGAAGTTGAGAACCGAGGACCAACTTCAGGGCAGGATCTGATCAAGCCCATCAAGTATATTCGACTCCGACCAGTGTTGCTCGGAAAATATGTACAACGAAACCCACAAGCAGAATCCGACGCCGCACTCCACCGACAGCACAAGGTGCTAAATGTGTACCCGTGTGCCCGCCGGCCCTGTATCTACATCTATCACAACCCGAGCTGAAAAAGATGGCTTAAGCGGTGGTGTATCCAAAATAGTCAGAGAGCGTGAGTGAGGCCGGACCAATGTGTTTCGGCGCCAACCTGCCAACCCACCAAACCTGCCAAACCCCGTCGTCCCCGACGCCATTGTTCCAGACATTATTGAGTAACTTAAGAGACATGAACGATAAATCAGCATTTCAGCGAGAGCACCCGTCATGTGTCCTCCATAAATCTCGACGCTGAGCCCCTCGATCCGTCTCGCGGTGCAAAACTGCGGCCGGCGGCATCTGGTGGTAGTAGCGTTGTGGGGAAAACGGACGGGCGATGCCCCGGCCGGTAAGGGGCCGTGTTCGTGGAGGGGCGTTCGTTGGGCGCCGTCCCGGTAAATGGGGACGCCGCTGACCGGCCGCATGGGTGATCCAAGTTGGAAAGGGTTCGAGCTTTCCGAGAACGCTTGCGAGTCTCGGTAGTACGAGGACCCGCTGCCGATGCTATCGTGTGGGTCGGTGTACCCGTCTCCGCCGGATTCGAGGACCGAGACCAGCTTCTTGCCGGACACCCTGTAGAATCCCTTCTCTTGAGTGGCCGGCCCAGCAGCCGGTGCGTCGATCGCCGCTCGTTTCCCGCTCAACTTGGCGAGAGCGGAGGGTATGGCAAACGCACCCGTCCGCTCGGCCATACCCATCCCGCTGCTGGGGCTAGTCGGTCCCGGTGATGAGAAACCCCTGCCCCTATCCTCGTCGCCCAGCAACATGATGCCTTGACCGCGCTGTCTCCTCCACTTTAACAAGTACAATAGTGCGACGGCGATGAGCGCGATGCCGGCAATGCTACCGACGACCCCTCCGACGACAGCGTTTCGAGTTTCAGGGGCGAGGCCAGTGGGTTCGGGAGTGGGTTCGACGGGAACGGGAACGGCTGCTGTGGCCCCAGGGCCTCGTTTTTGCCCTGTCATCGGTTCCGCCGGCGACGATCGTTACGGTATCGGTGGTTGAAGTCCAAAGGGAGCTACTGTTCTTAGTAGAAGTGAATGTGGAACGAGAAGATGAAGTTCGCGAATGGTTCGAAAAGAGGCCTATCGTATGGTTGCCAAAGAGTGACGGTGGACGAGCTACCAAGAGTCAATAGGTGAGCAAAACGAACGAACAGGTTTGGCGAAACGTACTTGACGACGAAGAAATTGGTAACCCCAGAACAATGTGGGGAATGCAGACGTGCTGCTGAAAGGAGTGGACGTCAAGCGTCTCCGAGGACGCAGACAAAGTAGATGAGGACGTCTCACGACTCGGCGGATGTTGTCGGCGATGCCGTGTCATCGGCCGGACCGGGAAGCAAGCCAGAGAGAGGCAGGCTAGGTAACGAAGGGAGAGACACGGTGGGGCAACACGTCGCCGAGGGGCGGGCAGACCCAGCAGTGAAGACCGGCCGGCAAGCCTGCCGCGGTGGGTGCGGCAGTATCCCGAGGTCAAAGTGTCGACGCTAGTGACGGCGCCCGATGGCATCGATGTAATGAACGGACGGACACGGTTTGCACGACGACGACCTTGGCGGCCATGCAGCTTCTCGTTGGGTGGTGAACGAATGTGTGGTGGAGGGTGATATCCGGCCTCGGGGGTGTGCAAACGACGGTGTTGGTGAAAGATGCAGATGCTTGGTGGTTTTAGATCGTGGTTTGTGGACATGGTTGTGGCGGGTGCTGCGGGCCTGAAAGAGTGATGGCCCGCTGGCATCGCCTGGGTTAGTCATAGCGCTTGCGTGGCTGTGAAAACGAATGTGGGCAAGAGCTGCGGAAAAAAAAAGAGCGGCAGTCGGTGGGCACGAATCGAATGGCAGGCTAGCAGCCCAACCCCGTATTCGAAAGTCTTGTCGATGGGCTGGATGGAGGGAAGCTCGTAAAATCGAAGCTGGCTGTGCGCGTGATCCGGAGGGGTCGGCTCGTCATGGTCGCAATTATCCAGCCAAACTCGCCCGACTCGTCCAAAAGAAAACCGGAAATGTCGAATTAACCGTCCCTTCTTGCAGCCAAAAGTTGATCGTCAATGCGCTGCGTCTCTTAAGAGGGACCGGGGGCCCAGTGAGATTCGGGAGGTGCCGTCAAAACTCACCCGTTCCACATGTCCACGATGATGCTGGAGGTCGTCAATCGCACCGGCACGCTTGACAACCAGTGTGAGAGAAAGGAAGAGGGTGGCGCGAACGGGCGGCGCCGCGTGTATATTCCTTCTCGCAGCATTGTCCCGACCAGAAATTCTATTTTAATTTAAATTACCGGCCCAAGAGAACCCAGACGGCGAGCTCCGCAGTGGTTGTCGCAATGAGTCGAGAGAACTGGGCCTGAGCCTGAGCTGCCAATCTCGCTTCCCTTGGCGTCCGGGTTTTTCCCCCATCACAAGCCCACCATTGGCCAATCGTGTTCTCGAGGCCGATGCAGGAATGCGGGAATCCGCCGTCCTCATTGGTTGAAGATCTTTAACATGCGTTTGATGGATGGTTCCTACCCTGTTCGGCCGATTGCCTCTTTGCAGAGGGGAAAACACGAGATTCCAGTTTGGACCGAACACAACCCCCCTCGGCCCCCACCCGTGCCCGCCTGCCACTTGCTGCCGCTAGCGTTGTGCCACGACACGAGAAGCAAAGTGAGATTCGATAGGTGGTGGACAAGATTGGGTTGCCAAAATATCGAACCCGAAAAACGGGGACCATGAAGAGAACAGCACGAGTCGGCTTATCCCTGCGAAAGGGGCTGCTTTCTCCTGTTTCAAGGGATCTAGCCTGTTTCTTTTACTTCAAGTGGGGGACTTCAAACATCCCACAGGCCGCGAGGAGCTCACCCAGGGCATTGATGTTCCCCTCCCAATTTTGTATAACTGCTTTGAGTGTTTCACACCACTTGACAACTCTTCCTAGGAGTTCCAGGCTGTTTTGTTTCCTACCCCGACGGCGCACATGGGCCATCCCAGATACCCTTCCTTATCTTACTTGGAAACCTTTTCAATATCAATACAGAAGTAAGGTGTATTATACGTACGCTTAGTGGGACTTGGCGTAAATACCATCATCGATCGTTTTCGCCTCTTCGCGTTGAAGTCGGGCATGAAGTGGGCCGAAGGTTGCCCCCTCTCAGTCTAATACCCAATTCATGACCAAACCACCCGCGCCTTGACTAACAGCGAGCTCTAACTAATTCGCCACGCTAGAAAAAAAGTATTAAATACCCTCGACTCTCGCTCTCTGAGGACTTGAGACTGCCAAAAGAATTTGCACCCCATACTTTTTTCTCTCAACGAACTTCACAATCTCAACTTCACCATGACTGGCTCAAGAATGTGTCCCTGTGCGTCTTGCTTCGGCTCGACCCCACAGTACACCCCGGTCTACCAACACCAACATCAACATCAACATCAACATCAACACCAACACCAACTTAAACAACAACCGCAGCCGCAATTAAGCTATTTCAAGGCGAAGAAGAGCGATAGCATGATCAGCAAATTACGACGAGTCTCCAGCACCGAGAGTACTACCTCAACTCTGGTCGGGCTGACTACTGACATGCAACCGATGGGCATTTCATACGAAAAGTAAGCAGCGAGCTGCTAAAAGGAGTTGACAGGAGCAATTGGCGTTCGGACGGTTTCTTCGGAGTTCAGGTGCAAGGCGCTGAGCTGATTGAAAAGGGCGAAGGCTTCAGAATTCCGCCGTTGGAAAAGGTAAGAGTTGGCATCTGTCCGTTTGGTTTTGTTCCGCTGACTAGATCTCCCGGACTAACTGCGTAATCCTGTAGGTTCAAACTCCAAACCCATATGTTACCCAGCTGATGACCAGGTTCCTGGTGCTGCAGATCCGCCACTCCCTCCACTCACAAAAGGCTTGCATGATTCGAGTATGCTAACTTGTGGTATGACCTGGACCTTGATTTGACCTCATCCCAAGTCTCGTCCCCCACTTGTGCTACAGCCATCCCTTTTACATACTCATGATCAAGATTTCAGCGGAGAATAGAAAAGAAGAAAAAAAAAAAAAAAGCATTTTAAAATCATTTTGTGCTCTTTATTCCCAGTATTGTGCTCATGATGACGTCGAGGGTATTAATCCGTGTTAGTGACACACTGAACTATCTCTACAAAGCACATGCGTTACCTAGGTGTTGATGTCTCGAGTATTTCTTGTTCACACCTAGTTACCTACAGTGGCAGACGGAAGAAATTGTATGAAGGCCTCAACGACCACCGAAGCCGACGCAGCCCTCCACCATATGAGGCAAGATGAGAAATATACCTCTCTCGAGGAGTTCAACATGACAATATAAAGCCACACCTTCTTATATTTGTACTTTAGCTGCGAACAATAATCCTGATGTACCTATCACAGCGGAGTGATGGGATCGAGTTTGGGTGAATTTGGGTGTGATTTGGCATTGTGACTCTAAGGTACCTTTGTACCATGATAGTGCTTTCTTTCAACTGGTGATCAGGCTTGCATCTTTTAGCATTCGAAATCTCAAGGGCATTCTGATTTCTAGGAGGCCTCAGCACAGTGTCTTGCCTTTGATGTTTTGCCCGTAGTTGTAGTTTAGAAGCACCTTGGCCTCTTTCCCTTATTCAAAATTCGTTCACAACTTCGAGAACTGATTCCTTTCTTGTTGGACCCCGGCCCCCCTCGTTTCACATGGAAGCTTGGGGTGATCCGCTTTCTTTGAGTAGCTTCATCTGAGATTTGGTGGCGGGTTCGAGAAAGCTTGAACCGCTTGAGCATTCGCTTCACAACTCTGGGAACACTATAGGATTCCATCCTTTTCTATTAAGAGACGTCCCAAGATGGGTGAAACTTGGTGGTCTTCTCCTCCTTCTTAATACGCTTTATAATTCACTGTTACAGGCTTGAAATGGCCTGGTCTTTTTACACCACCGCATCTGAATCCTGAGAAACCTGGTTAGTTACATTTCCTTCCTCCATCCCATCTCTCTGATCGACGAAGACCCGCCGGTGTTACCTCTTTCTTCTCGCAGCCGCCTTTCCACCACCCCCAAAGTTCCAACACCATCGGTGACCTCTCCTCCCTGCCGAGTTTCTTCCCATACGAACGACCACGACTCTCCCACGCGGGGAAGAAGCTGGCGGCAAAACAGAAAGGTAGCCAAGGGCTGGTGTTTGCGCCGGCGAGCTCCTCTTCCCCTCTTTTTTTTCTTCTTTTCCAACTCTTCCCCATCCTCAACTCCTCCCGCCCAGCGCCGTGGGTGTGTGGTTGCCTTCTCGGCATTCAAGTTTGCTTTCTGCCGCCCTGGTCGCCCAACTGCCGGGATGTCGTTCCCGCCGATTTCACTGGCGGTTTACTTCCCAGTAAAGCTGGGGCCGGATGCGGAGCTGGCCTCACAACCAGAGATTAAACCCTCTGCAATGGAACAAAGTAAGTTGCTTGTGTCGTTGCTGTGGACTTGAAGATGGACTCAAAAAGATGGTCATTTGTTTCTCATTTACAAGTTGTGCTACATATCAGTAGCAACAAACCTGACATGGGACGTTTTTGAGCAAGAGACGATGAGCTGTTACTATCTCATATGGTCTGATGCTAGGCTGAGCAGCTTGTTGCTAAAGACTGGCTGGGTTTCCAGCAAACTGTCATGGCTGCTTACTCTTTATCTTTGGATCACAAACATGTGAGCCTAAGCTAACAATTTGAACGCACTAGAAGAGCTCCCTAACCCCAATGGCCATGCCCACTCTTGGGCGGCCCTACCAGAATTCAAGCCGGCCGCCGGCTTCTTGCCCTATGTAAGAGCTACCCAGTCTGAACACAACTCACAAAGCCGTGGTGGGCTGATAGCCCTTGCATATACTTGCATATTTCATCCAATGCACCTGTCCGTCCAGTCTCATGTTTTACTTCAGACGGACTCTAATTTTAGAGTTTTGTTTGGTTATACCTTGGGCATTACATGTACCTTTTCACCTCGCTTTAGAGTCCAGACAGCTAACCCGAGTCACCCCATAGGCCCAACCATCATCATCTTGCACCCCGAGGGCAAAACAGGAAACCCAACCCGAAACCTGGGACACCAACACCACCAAGACCTTCCCCTGCGACGGCGACGACGAAGAAGAAGACCAATACTGGGAGGAGGGCCCAGAAAACGAAGACGACGACGACCACGAGGACGAGGACGCAGACAGCAGCGACCAAGACGCGTCGGGCCTGTCGTCGTTGTCGCAGGGGCAGGGGCAGGGGCCGTCGACGTCGTCGCAGCACGTGTGGCTGAGCGACGAGGAGCGGGTGCGCGTCGCCTTCAAGCGCGCCCGCACCAGCGCCGAGAAGGTCGACCTCGACCGCTCGCCCTTCTTTCCCCGGACGGTGGCCGAGTACGCGGGCCTCAAGGCGGGGATGCTCGAGGCGAGGGCTGCGCGGCTGCGGGCCAAGGTGCGCGAGAGGGAGAGGGCGCTGCTACGGGCGAGGGAAGGGGGTGCCTGGAGGAGGGTGTTTCTGGTAGGGAGGTCGGGGAGGGCCGAGGAGAGGGTTGTTCCCGTTTATTATGGGCGCGCCGAGGAGGGTAGCCCTGCTGCTCCGTGTGCGGTTGGGGGTTCCTCGATGGGGGCGGATGTGGCGAGCACGGCGAGTGTTGCCCAAGGGGAAGCGGTCTCGTGAGTTCAGCCAGCCGTTTATCTTCTCCCTTCATCGCGCGGCCTTTACTGACACCCCCTAGAAACACTAACCTGGAGAGCCACTGGGGTGGACCTGTTGCAAAGTAAGTGAGAGCTTCTCAATTATTCTCGCCACTTACTGATTTCCCTTTTCACCCCATAGCACCCTCAGCACGCCTGGTAACTGGGTTCAACCCCTCCTTTACTCTGCGCTCCCAGTCACGTTTGACTGGATCAACTTCCAGTTCATTCCCCACGAATACACCCCGTCCCAGGCACATCAGGGCATCGAGCCTCTTTCCCATGCTGGCCAGGATTGGTCCTATTCGCAAGTCAACGCCGTCGTCGACCACCCCACGGGCTCGGTACTACCTCCTTGTTACGCGGCTGGGCACCAACGCGCCTCTTCGGCCGCCATATTGAGAGAGGTTGCCGCACATGCTGCCTTCCGCCATGGTAGCGTCGATGGAAATACACAAATAACCACCAATGGCGCCCACCATGGGCATAACTTGCTTGATGACGAGGATTACGATTCCGATTCCTCCTTCACCCCGAGCGATTATCGACCTCAGCATGGCATGAGTAAGGGCAAGCCAAAGGCTCCATACAAGACATGGTGCGGTCACAATGTGGCCAGCAATTTCTTCACCCCAATCAACTTTACGGATGATCCGACCATAGCGGCAGAAGCTGAGAATAGGGCCACGGACAGGGACGAGGGACACGTCGTGCTTGACCAGAACGGGCATAACAAAAGGGAACAGATTAATTGCGAGGATGACACGGGTCTCGACAAGTTAGAGCTGGACGGGGCGCCCGCCGGTAAGGGGGAAGCCAATGGCAAGGGTAAGGAAGAGGGATACGCAAAGGGCATCCAACTCAACGTCCAGAACGAGGACACGCACGTCCGGATGGAGGAAGGAGACAATGGGCCTGATATCGAGGAATCCAGCGCTCAACCCCCCGGCCTCACAGTAGAAGACAATCGCCGACGTAAGGTGCCAAACCCTCACGCCCAGGTTTTCACCCCCTCCGCAGCGAGCACTTTCACGCCGAGCGATTACAATCCATGCAAGTTCAACCAGCACACACCAAGCCCCGGCAACATCCCAATGAACCCCCCACCACCGCCCGCAGCGCCGCAGCTCGCAACCGCACCGCTCAGCCACCGCGACGGCCTCTCCCCCTTCTTCTCCCACCCGGCCAACCCCTTCACCCCCACCGCCCCGGGCTTGCCCGCACCAGATTCCGACTGCGACTGGCCCACGGTGGCCGAACTGACCAGCGAAGGCGAGGGCCGCATCAAGCGCTGGGACACCAACTCCAACCCCAACACCAACACAACCACCCCGCGGTCCTCCTTCTCCCACCCCACCCCCACAGACCCCAACAACAACACAGACCACCTAGACACCACCACATCCCTCCCAAACCCCAGCCTCGGCCGCTTCCTCCCGCTCCCGCGCCTCCGCAACACCATCGACCCACGCCTGGACTTCACCCCCACCGCCAACAACAACAACCCCAACAACCCACCAAACGAAGCAGACGCGGACGCCACACCGTCGCCACTGCCGTGGGAAGTGCGCGCGATGGCGGGCGAGCGGCGGTGGGATTTGCACGGGGCGCGGCGGCTGTGGGAGGTGTGGGGGTGGCGGTTTGGGGACGAGGAGGATGGGTGGGATTGGCTTTTTGGGGTTGAGGGGGGTAGTGGTGGTGGGGGAGAGGGGGAGGGGGGGGTGTTTTTTTTACTGTTTATTTTTCTTTATATATTGGAATTTTTTGTAGTAATTGTTTTGTTCGGGGCGTGTGTTTTGTGGTTGTGTGTTGTGTTGTGTGGTTCCTTCTCCTCTTTTTTCCTCTCTTTTTTTGTGTTTTCTTTTTTTTTTTTTTTTTTTTTTTTTTTTTTTTTTTTTTTTTTTTTTTTTTTTGGTGGTGTTTTTTGTTTTTGTGTGTTTTTTTTTTTTTTTTTTTTTTTTTTTTTTTTTCC